GAGAGAAGCCCCGGTAGAAAGAAAAAAACATCGGTATAGATAGACTATACGGCGCTTTTGCGCTCCGGGCGGAAATGTGAAATTAATAAATTTGAATTATCGACGGCGATCGCTGCTCAATTGATGGCTTGTATAGGTAAAGCAATTGATTTTTTTTTATTTAGCCATTGTGTGTTTGATATTATTAGGCATTATTCAATATTTTTTAAAAACTGTAAGCTCACTATTAACTTAGTGTTAACTTAACTTATAGGTACCATTTATCAATGAAAAACAAATTCAATTTTGGTAATAATTAGGCCTGTTTAGCATACAGGGTGTTCCATAATGATATGCTAATAATTAAAAAGGTGATTTTTGGACTTATTTTAAGAAAAACACTTAAAAAAAAGTCAAAAAATCAAATTGGTTCTAAATCGAATGAGGATTCCGAAAATAATTTTTAATTTAATATTAGGCAGCGGCGTACCATTTTTTTCTTCAAAAATATTCAATGCAAAACCCGTACGGACGCCACTGCTCAAAATAATAAAATTATTTGTATCTATATCAAATAATGAATCTTGATTCATAGAAGACGTGTGCCAAATTTCATTTAATACATCTACAATAGTATCACAGTTATTGCAAAAACAATGTTTTTTTCCTAAAACTTTTACACCCTGTATCTAAAAAGTTAAGACATTTATGACATTGGTTTATACGGAGATTTTTCCTTAAAATAGGTCCAGGAATCACCTCCTTAAATATTAGCAAGTCATTTTGGAATACACTGTGTACAGTTTGCCCTTTAGACATTTCCTTCTTGATGGTAGATAAAATGCGATCAATCACGAGTAACGGGTACATTTAACAAAATAAAAACCCTCATAAATTCGCAGGCTACACGAATGTTAGTGCGGCGATATTTAACTTTGGCGCTATTTCACGTTACGTTAGTTCAACAAATATTCCTTATGTTGCACTCGCCGTTTTTAATAACGATTCGCGTGTCAATTACAACCCAATCGAGTGCGATAAATTTTAATCATCTCGCAATGAATGTTACACATTTTAATCTGAAGGGAATCTATGCGGCGCACACACACACAAGGTTTAGCCTAGAAACCCACTGCGTTTTACTATTATTTTATTTTTTCCGTCACGAACGCGTCCCGAGCGTTATTATTGTTCGGAACAATTTCGGTACCTGCCCGTGTTCATCGGGCTATTGCCGTTTTCGCGCAAAACGGTGCGATGAATCGAGTGAAAAGAACCGGAAAGTTTTGAAAAACAGAACGGGAAAGGTATAAAAAACGGTTGAAATGATGCAATTAGGGAGTTCTGCTAAATTGAATTGATTATGTATGTAAAAAGCGTACGAAAAACTATAAAAGAAACTACAGTGCGATAGGAATAGCTGTAGACGTGAACTGCGCGAACTTCAAATATACTGCTCCACAAAAGTTAAGGAAGTTATATTGAGAATAATTTAAATGTTGCAGGTTTTTTGATCGCCAAATTTAGTATGAGTTGTAGAGGTAGGGACAAAAAATCCACTCAGATATGAAAGAAAACATTTAATTTCGCATATTTGAAAATTTGGTGATCAAAAAGTCTGTAACTTTTAAAATAATCGCAAAATTTGCGAACTTCCTTAACTTTTGTGGAGCAGTTTAGTTGCGTATCGTATTTCTAGCTATTATTATCACACTGTACATGCATATCTACTGGAAAAAGTCAATATATTTTTTATTAAGATATTTCAACCAAGAACATGTGGTTTTTTTTTTAACTAAAATAAGTTACAAATTTATTCAGTACTTGCAGTGTTCCTAAACAATTTTCCTAGAGAAAATTAGATACTAATCTAATTAAGTATTATTATGTAATAAATTTTTTCTAAAAATAAACGGGCAAACGTTAGTTACATTCAAAAATTGCTTCATATTAACTCCTATTCGATTTCTCCCAACCTGCACGTCCTCCGGACGGTTTTTTGGTAAATTAATACACGTGTCACAACGGCGAGAGTCAGAAAAAAAAAACTTTTCTCACAAACGAAATATTTCCTTAATTCCCTCGTCGAAACGTCTCGTCATCGCCCGACAGGAACATCGGAATTTGGATTTGTTCCAAACAAAACAAATATTCAATTTACGCGTTTCGCTCCTTTGGAAGTCGAGAATCTAATAAATGAAAGCACCGGGTTCTACTTGTCGGGATAGTAACGTGCCTATACACACGACTTTTTTCTTTACTTCTAGGCGTTTTGAGAGTTAATTTACTCCATTACCGTGCTTTCATTCGAAACTCAAATATCGGCGGAACTTTATCGTTTTATCGTTTCTATGCCCGTAATGCAGTTAGAGTTTTCAATTTGCTCCCCGTGGATAATTCGCACCGTCACCATCTGATCGCTTGCACGTTAACAAACTTCAAAGTAGGTATATAGCGGAGTTGAAACGTTGAATTTTGTATAGATTGTCGATATAAATTAATTTCATTCGGGAAAATCTTGCATTTTCCAATTTTGTTTAAGTTCGATGATTTAGTAAGGAAAAAATGATTTTGCATCAAGTTGAAAGTGGGTTAATAATGAAGCAGAAAAAGAATAAAAACAAGAAAATCGAAGGAATCTTCTAAATCAACAAACTGATTCAAGAATTGATTAATTAATATACATGATTACAATAAAGTTGATAATAAGGGGTAATGAAGATGAATAAATATAAACTAACCATTTTTTATTTTATTTCGTAATTTAAGTATTCTCTCCTTTATAGTAATAATTGTAGGCCTTATTTAAGGTGCCTATTAAATTTTTCTTTGGTAATCTGATTAGACATTGGTCTATACCCCTTTTTAACGCTAATCAATCGTTTAAAGAGCTTCTTTAAAACGTAAACAATATCCACAGTTACTCCATAACAACAATGTAAAACTACATCACAAGTTAAACATGCGCCTATATTTTTAAAAGAAGATGAATACGGATGTTTGTGTTCACATTACAGCGCATAACGACCTTGTCGACGTTAGTTATTTCTGCCGATCTGTAACCAAAATAAATCCCAATTTATCTGGCTTCTGTATCAATTCGCATTTAATCGCTTTCTTCCGAGCGTTGTACGGAAATTCCTTAAATTTTTATTTTTTTTAAACTAATTTTTCTAGATTTCCTTTTTTTTATCAAAAATTAAACATCTTTTTTTGAGAATATTGAAATTTATTGAAGACGACAAATAATAGAAGGAATTTCCGTATAAAATTTTCTTTGGCCTAAATTTTATATTAGGAACAAGATATCGAGATGCGGTTTTCGCGAGCTGGTTTAGGCACCATTTAGCTAATTATTCATGAAAAAAAAATCATACCAATGCATTTAATTTTTTTGAGAAAATTAACCATTTCTGTCGGAATGTCGAAAAAAGCGCTCTACTAGCGACACGTGAATCTATAACAAAACTTTAAATAATATAACTTTTGTAGCCCAAGAATAGCTCTTTTCAACTAGCCCAAGTTTGTTCAAATCGGCTCAGCCGTTTCGAAGATACAGGGTGTTTTTTTAGGGAAACATTTGAATAACACTCACCACTTTATTTTTAGAGATACAGCAAAAATTGTTTAACAAAAAAGGTACATATTATACTCGACTTTAAAGATCTGGTATTTTATTGTTAGGTTAATATAGCGGAATTCATAGAAATATCACTTTTTTAGTTTCAATATTGCAGTTACACCTCGTAGCGGTCATTTGAGAAACTTGAAAATATTTTCCAGGTTTTTCTCTTGGCCGTTTTAGTAATAATTCTTTTTACCGCAATCCTCTACGATGCATAGTTTCCCAGATACAGTACCTCGCAATCTTAATTGGCCACCCTGTACACACATAAAAAAATAGATGCACAAAAATGACCATCGACGAATGCGGAATGGAAAACAGGTGTCCGGCATCGCGGCAAAAAAAATAAAAAAAACGTGCGTGCCTTATTAAGGCGTCGCCCGGCGATTGCCGAAATCGAACCGGCGAAGCAGCAACACCAACTCCAGCAGCTCAAACAAAGAGGTTTTTTATCCGTCATCCGAGGCCGACCTTCGGCGGTTTCAATAGCGCGGGGTCACGTTCAATGTCTTCGCGCATACTACGCCTACAAAGACGATCGTTTGTTATACAATAGAAATGCTCGCCAACGTCCGTAATCGTAACGGCAGCGGCTAATGGATTGGACAATTCCGTCGAACGCATTTTCTTAAATGGATTACCTACAGGGCGATCTTACTACGTTTTTATAATAACACCAGGAGTTTCATATGATACACTTTATGTCACTATATATGCTAGTCCACAAAAGTTAAGGAAGTTCACAAATATTGAGATTAATTTAAAAGTTGCAGGTTTTTTGATCGCCAAATTTAGTATGAGTTGTAGAGGTAGAGGCAAAAAATCCACTTTTCTGGGGCATCTAGAGGTAGATGGGGGGACGTAAACGGATTCGCTCTTTTCGAAAATCGACCTCTTTTCTCCGGCTAAATTCGTTTTCGTTCATAATATCGATTTAAAGTTGAAATTTTTGACACATTTTCCAAAAAATTATTTGATGGACGATTTACGTTCGTTTAGTTTGAATGGAACTTTACCGCGGTGCAAGATTTTTTCTTTATTTGTACCTTTTAGCCGCTTTCAACGGTTAAAACTGAAAGAATATACAATAATTTACTAACCTCCAAGTTTTCTCCTCATTTTATTGACGAATAACCGAGAAATGTTTAAATTAATTTCGAAAAGTGTACACTAATGACAGCGGCAAAGAACAAACCTCACAATGACTGAAAATGTCACTGACGTTTCTAAGGAGACGTCAACAGGACATTTAATGTACAGGATGATCCGGCGCAGCCCCCTTTCCGAGCTGACAAGCGAGTCCCTTTAATGTCCCAAATGAAGACTGACTATTCTCTCATCAATTATTAACGAAGCATTTTTGGTAAATTGATCATTTTTTTTGCATTGGTTTCAGGTATTCGGCTCAAAAGCGGAACTCCAATTGCACACGCAGGCGCACATGCGCGAAGCCAAACCGTACAAGTGTTCGCAATGTTGTAAAGCGTTCGCCAACAGTTCCTACCTGTCCCAACACACTAGGATACATTTAGGTATAAAGCCGTACAGGTGCGAGATATGCCAAAGGAAGTTCACGCAGCTCAGCCATTTACAACAACACATTCGTACGCACACGGGGGATAAACCTTACAAGTAAGTTCTGGAATATCCTATTCTAAAAATCTTTTTTTTTCTTATGTATCATAAGCAAAAGATCTGTGAGTATGTTTTGGAGTAGCTCTTGTTCTTGTTTTCTTCCGATTTTTTCGAATGCTTGAGTAGCAAATTTTGGAAAGTAGTAAGAAAAGCCAAAACCACATAATAATATACACAAGTTTCGATAATAAGATGAAAAAATAGGCAACATCTACAGGGTGTTAATTAAGTGATGATAGACGATACTTCAGAATGTGAATATTTGGATGATTTTAATAAGAAAAGTTTATATCAATATATGTTCCATACCTCTTAGTTTTCGAGCTATAATTAAGGTGTTACAATTTTAGAAAAAAATGACTTTTCTATCATAATTTTCTCATTACTCCAGATATTTTTATAAAATTTATAAAAATTGTATCAAAATATCAAAAGCAGTCTCAATGAACTTGGGAAAAATTGTTTTGGTTTTTATTTTTTTACTCGAAAATGGTGCGTAGTACGAAAATAAGTCTTCTAACCGAATTTGCTACAAAATAAATAAGGATTTTAAAAATAATTTTGATTTTTAGAAAAAGCAGTGGTGTACCATTTTTTTTTTTCAAACATATTCAGTTCGAACCCCGTACGGACGTCACTGGTAAAATACATAAAAAAATCATTTACCTCAAAAAATGCTCCTTAATAATTAAATCTACAATATTTCATAAAAATATCTGGAGTAATAAGAAAATTATGATAGAAAAGTTTTTTTTTTAAATTTTAGCACCCTGTAGCTCGAAAACTAAGAGGTTTAGGACATATATTGATATAAACTTTTCTTCTTAAAATCATCCAATAAATATTCACATCCTGAAGTATCGGCACCCAGATAATTAACCCTCTATTTAAAAAATATATTATTTTATTGAATGACTCTACACTTTCCAGACACGTGAAATAAAACGAGTAGGTACATAAAAGAAGTAAAGCATGTTAGAAATAAAATAGAATTTATTTAAAAGAGCACTATAGTAGAACACAAACAAACTAAGGTCGGAGATAAATAAACATGCGGGACAATAGTTAATATGAATTTACTATTTTTATTATTTCGAGTATAGTTATACACGACGGATTCGAATCGATAGGTCCCGATAATTGCGAATAAAAATCCAATTTGTTCTTTTATCCGTTATTAGTCATTGCATATAATTGCGATATAATTTATGATTACATCGCTTCGGTAAATCCGACAAACAATTAAATATTAAAGCGACACAATAATGAAAACGGTGCAGGCTATTACGAGAGCGAAAGTTTTTTTCTCTCTAATGATAACGCCTAGGCGGTAGGTATTATTAACTATGCCGGCCTTGATATTAGAAAAAAAAAATGTAAACCACTTCTTATACATATTTAAATAAGAGCCGAGAGAGAGAATTCTAATATGTTGTATTTTTCCTGTCGCGAGAACATTGATTTATGCAATTTTGTTTATGACAAAAATGTGGCCGTGACGATAATTTTGAATGTCGAGTTGATCGAATGAAATGCTATAGTTCAAAACGAGAAACGAACGAGTAACGCTAAGCGCGTTACAAAATCTTATACAGATTGTCTCGAAACCTACAGATTTTTGGCTAAATTCTGTAGGTTTCGAGACAATCTGTATAAGACATACTGACCCGTATTCAGCGCCTCTGTTTAACTTTAGAGTGACTCTAAAGTCGCGTCTTTAACTTGACAGTTTTACATTGTTGTTATGGAGTAACTAGGGACTCGAGACTCTCTAAAGTTAAACAGAGGCGCTGAATACGGGTCAGTATGTCTTATACAGATTGCTGTAAGATCTATAAGCTGAAATCTGTAAGAGATAGTAAATGCAATTCTAACCTCTGTTATAATCTACAGCTAAGTTTATAATCGCATTTACTATCTCTTACAGATTTCAGCTTATAGGTCTTACAGATGCTCTCAGAATTTAGCCAAAAATCTGTAGGTTTCGAGTGACTCTAAAGTCGCGTCTTTAACTTGACAGTTTTACATTGTTATTATGGAGTAACTAGGGACTCGAGACTCTCTAAAGTTAAACAGAGGCGCAGAATACGGGCCAATGTCTCTTAGAGATTTCGGCTTATATATCTCACAGATGCTCATAAAATTCTGCCATTATTCCCATTCTCCACTCATCCCATAGAAACCAACAATATTCTCTATTATTCTCGTTGTTGCAGATGCCGACATCCCGGTTGCCAAAAGGCCTTCTCACAATTGAGCAATCTGCAATCGCATTCGCGCTGCCACCAAACGGACAAACCGTACAAGTGCAACTCGTGCTACAAGTGCTTCAGCGACGAGCCCTCATTGCTCGAGCACATCCCCAAGCACAAGGAGAGCAAACACCTCAAGACGCACATCTGCCAGTACTGCGGCAAGAGCTACACGCAGGAGACCTACTTGAGCAAGCACATGCAGAAACACGCCGAGCGGACGGATAAAAGGCCGCCCATCGGGCCCAGTTTAGGTGAGAAATTTCTCTTTTAGAAATTACATTTTCCAAATTAGGAGTTGTATTTGTTAGTTTCCTGTTGAGAGCATCCACAATTTTGCTAGGGTTGCAATCTTCCAAGAGTTTTACAAGAAGTTATTGTGCTACGAGAGGTGTTTCCAAAGGTTTGGGAATGAGTCCTTGGGAATTGTAGACGCAGCAAAATCTTAAAGAGCACTAATCGATCCATTGAACAGTACTTTTGGATTCTGTAGACTCACCAAATCTGTAGACTCACCGCCTTTTTGTAGGCGCTGAAGAATTTTTGATGTTTTCACATGTTTTTTCTACACAAAGATTTTTCGTTGAGATTTTACTGCGTCTTTCATGGTTACAAAAAAAGTGCTTTGAAAATGTGTCTATATCAGTCGAACAACTGAATCAGACTGAAGAATGTGACACTGGATAGTTGCAAAAACATGTCGAGACTTGTCCATCACCAAATAACATAACCTATAAGTGCTATTTAACTTAATTAGAGCACAATGGGCTCATTCGATAAAATTTAGAATTTGATCAAACTTTATATACATAAAGAAGAGGTCAAAAAAAATGGTTACTGAAAGTTTCAAGTTGATCCGATCAGCGGTTCTTTGATTATTCGAGTTTAAAGATGCGATTATTTGTCTCCGCGATAGTACGATGATGACGTCACTGCATGCGATCTCTCTGCTGTCCGCTTCGCATTTACTTAACTTGCATTGCATTCGCGATCGTTTCGTCTTTTTAACGACTATGTTTAATTGATTATATAGGGTAATTATAATAAATAATTAATGCTAATTGTAAGTACAATATTTTGGTTATCAATCAATGAGATTATGTACGTAAAATATTTAGGAATACCTAAATAATAACTAATACCTACCTATGTAAGTTTTGGATTTTGCTCTATAACATGTATTACCCTTTTTATAATGTTCTCTTTTTCATTAGACCAAGTTGACTCAGAATTAACAAAAAATGATCCCGATCAAGTAGTCACAAATTCTGAAGAATCACTTGAAGAAATAGGAAGAGCGTCATCTAATTTACTAGTAAAATCATATGGTAACTGTCCCGAACGGGTCAAATCACACTGAGTTTGTTTTGAAAAAAGTTTGGGCATTATGTTTATATAAACTTGAATTTTTTATGACAGGCCTTATTTGTAATAGTGTTGTTTAAATTTTTGTCCATTGTCAAATTCACATCATCCATATCATCGTTCTCTTCATTCCGAGTACTTTTAGAACAACTAGATAAATCCTCGATAGTAGTTTACCGCTGTCTTTTTAAAAATATTGTTCTTGCTTGTACAGTGTGTTTAACGCTTTGAACTTTTTGACAATCGAAGATATTAGGTACAACATCTTGCTTTATTGGGAATTAGCCATTGTTTTAAAATACATGTAATTTTCCATATTGTTTTCAAACTAAAAAATGTAATTATTTTTACTAAGCAAGCTAATTATTATAATTAATACTTATATTAAAATGATCTTCACAGACAAAATGTCTTGACTTTGTACTAACCAACATATACTTCTTTTCATTGACTTTTGCCACAATTTGTTTTTTCTTAAATCGCGCGGAAGACTAATAAATATTTTATTAGGCATCTTAAAACTAGTGCTTCGACATTTGGGAACAATGCAATATTTATAACTATTTTTTGATTTATTGTCCGTCATTATTTAAAACTCCCTAAGTCTATTTAAAACCCTAAAAGCACGTTTCAATATTATCAATCGACAGCCTATATTACAAATATGTTCTCGCAACGCATGCAGTGACGTCACAGTCAATTCGAGCGAACGCTCAGCGCGACGGTTTTTAAGGCCTTTTTAAGTGACTTCTACATGGAATTTAATTCTGATTTTTTGCATAGTGACTTAAAATTGTGTGGTCTTTCCAAAAAGCAAATAAAAAAAAAGTGTCGAATGAGCCCATTACTAAAACTTTGGAAACATCCATCGTAGATAAGTTTAGGACATGAATTGATCTATTTTTGTCTTTGAATTGTTGAACACTAATTTATGTTTACAAATTGGAAGAGTAAGTGCGCCATATATGGACCACCATAAACAATTTTCTCAAAAAAAGTCGAATTTTAAATTTTAATCAGCTTTATTTATATTAAACAATTCCTTAACCAGTTAGTTAAGAAAAACTGATAATAAAATTCTTCAAAAAAATCTTTGAAATAAACAACTATTTCTAAAATAGGTACTATATCATTTTTATGAACTTTCAGAAAGTGAACATAATATGGACCACATCCAGATTTTTCCATTTCTAGAATATAATTGACTAATTCATCTTCCAATTCACTCGGTAATGTTAATTGTCTCCCAAGTTTTTGAGTGGTGATATCATTAAGTGATTTGTTTTGGGTGTATGTTTTGGAAGCATTCAAAAAGCCCATTTTCTCTTCTCGTGCATTTTTAATTGCCTCCTCCATTGCGTTTTTTATCCCATGCTTGTCTGGTCTTCTCTATTGTTTTAGAAGCCATTTTAGAACATAAAAATTAATTTTTAGCCATTCCATATTTAAAACGTGCCACTGGTCCAAATTGTGATACTTTCTCATTTTGATATTATTAATTTTTTTTTAGAAAATTGAAATATTATAGATTATTAAAACTTATTACAATTAATTGCAACATTACTCACCTTCCTCGTGGTCTTATCCACTTTCACATAAAATAGTATTTTTTGGATTTAAAAACTCCCAAAGTTCGCAAGAAAATTAGATCGCGCGTTGCAGAAAACTAAAAAAGTCTGTCGTAAATATCTGAGTGACAAAAGTAAAAGAACACCAAAAAATAGTTGTTGAAATTTAACCATTTATTCTAGTTACATGTATAAGAGAAAAATAAACTAATGATTAAAATTAATTCATCAAATTAACAACAAAACTTAATAATGTGTTGCACCACCGTGGTGCTGTAGGTACACATTCTCTACAGTTTGAATGAAAAATAAAATTTGCTTCTTGGTTTTCTTTTACTTTTGTCACTCAGATATATGCAGCATCCTGTGTCAAGGGAGGAGTCATGCTTAGTGTATGATGATCATTTACTCGATATAAAGAAGTATTTTTTTTAAATGGCGGTGGTCCATATTATAAGACTGATCCATATTTGGCACACTTACTCTATCCATTAAAAATGTCCTCTCTTCAGCTACATAACTTAACTTTTAGATTTTGCTTGTTTTCTCTTTCGAACTGGACCTTTATGGCAAATTTATGATCGTCCGTCCAAACATTTTCTTTACAATGAACGATCTACCGTTTGCTAACCAACGATATTTCTTTCGACAGAATTCTTCCCGGGTTTGAACCACCGAGGCATCGACCACCCGTACTGGCCGAAGGTGAGTCCCGACAGCGCCGAGAACATCCACGAGTACCCCAACGACATTCCGCGCCAGATCCTCGAGCAGAACGAGGACCTGGTGATCATCAGACAGCAGCTGGGCCAGAACCCGCCGGCGCCGCCGGGCACCCCGAACGCCAACTTGGCCAACACCTACGACACGTCCATATCGAAGTCGAACGCCAATTCGGCGTTCACGCCGATCAACTCGATGTCGGGCCACCTGAATTTGAACCACCACCAATTGGCGCCCAACAGGCCGTACATCTACGATGCGCTCAGCTTCCAGAAGCAGAACAGCCTGGATATACCGAAGAGCCAGCCGTCGAACGGGTTCCCCAATCAGCTGATCAGCCTGCACCAGATAAGGAATTACGCGCACCAGCCGAACTCCTCGCTGATGGAGCATTCCATACTGGGCTTGGGGAAGGACAAGTAAAGGTAATAATCGGTTGCTCGGAATATTCACGGACGTTTGTGATCAGTGCTGGCTCGTGATCTCGTACTATATATTATTATTATTTTTTTTAATATTAAGCTAGCGTTGGGATTAGATTCGATTAGATTTTTTCGAACGGGTTGATGGGTTGAAAAATGTTGTTTTTGGGTGGCAGTGATTTTGGTGTTTGGCGGTAATTCGCTTTTTGAGTTGTTTTTGTTCAATTACACCGAAAAAATTGCGGTTTTTTTTTTGTTGTTAAAGACTTTGTCGTCGCTTTCACTTTAAGTGAGTTTTAATCAATTTTTTGCAGGCTGTTTTGATAAAGAGTTTTTTTTTTCTCTAAATAAATTACTTTCTTGCATATTTCGATATGGAATAATTGGCGATTTTGTGTGCGTAATTGAGCAAAAATTTTCGGATTATATTTTATCTGAATACGAATTTATCTGTTTTTGTTTTCGAAGAACTTTCGTTTTTTATGGAATAACAAAAAAAATTCGATTAAACTTTTCGTTTTTTTTTCATTTTGCAATTGCTGCTCCCAAAAACCTAAATTCTCGCGTTTATAACAGTACAAGGTATTTTTTTCTGGCGCTGTTTTCGAGACAAAAATTCCTCTAAATAGCTCAAAGTTGTATAGATAAAATTACAAAGACATTGTGAATTTGTAAACTAATAAGTTTGTACAGAAGAAGACGTAGTTAATTATTTTTTGTGGACCAGAATTCGACGTTTTTTTATAGGAATATTTTTTATTTAATTTTTACAAAGTTAACTTTATACATTTAGTTTGAATTTTCGTCCTCAAAAATCATAAAAAATAGCTCAATATATTCTATTTATAAAAAGTACTTTTTATTTTATTTTTTTTAGTTGGGAAATTGACTTTTCGAATTTATATTTAATTTTTCCATTCTAATTTTTCGGGGAACAGAAATATTGTTTGAATTTAAAAAGAGAGTTATTTATTAAGTTTTGGTGCAAATATAGTATTAAAATGAGTCGCGTTAAAATTGAAACACTTGTAAAACTTTAATGCAATTCATTAGATTTATAAGTATTAGAAAAAATTATTGAGTTTGCTCATTTTTTATGTACCTGGTGCGTTACTCGGAATGTTTTTACAATGTTGCAGTTTTTCTAAAAATAACGTTGATTTCGGAAATTTATCAAAAAAAGTACATTTGACCTGATTTTTAGAACTCGACAAAGTTTATAAACTTTTATTTTACCAGTACTTTTATCTCATAAAAAAGCTAAAACTGCAACAATCGTGAGTGAATAATTCTTGGAGGGACGGACTTGGTACAAGTTGAAATATTATAAAATTGTATACGGATTATATTACGTCAAAAATTCCGACATTTTTGTAAATATTTCGTTGCGTACTTGCGTTATGTTAACGTTATAGCGACAATTTTGTTAATTTTAAGTTTCAAATCGAGCTTTAAATTACTACCTAGAGTTGAATTTTTTTCCATAAATTGTTAACGTATTCTAATATGTTGGAGCAGAGTGTTTAACGAGTACAATCATCGGGAAAATCGGAATTGTTTGATGAACGTGCGTTGAATATCTAAAATTTATTTTTGTTTTTTTTTGTTTTTCGTTGTTGTTCATGCCGGGTAATTAATGTTATAATTTAACTGAAAGTTTAACAAGAAATTATAATTTTTATGTAAAATTTTTGAACTTGAACTTTCACCGTCTTTATGCTATTCTCTCCTTAAACTTGTGTGATTAAACTTTGTTAAATATCCACGAAAATTGCAAAAACTATGCACGACACAACGATAAGTGTTGCACGATAAGAGGTGCAAATTGTTTAAAGTTAAAAATCTGTTAAAAAAAATTGATGAATTAATAATTATCATAAAAAATGTCACACGTGCGTTGCGAATTGTTTTTTTACCATAGTAAAACTTGTTTGATTAATGTAATGTACTTGCGAAACACTTTGAATGTTTTGTACGATACTATTTCAAAAAGCTTTTTGGCTTGTGATGATAAATGTATTTATAAAAAAGAAGGTTTTTGTTACACTCTTTATTAATAAAAAGTACTATTCATTTATTTTTTCTTTGGTTTTATTTTATTTTTCCTTTTTTTTGGTCTTGTTGAAACGCTTGGGAAATAAAATTGTCAAGTGTGTAACAAGAAAATCAATAAATTATCACACCCTCTGTTCATGAGTTTTCAAATTTTCATAAGTACAAAATATCTTGAGAATTTCGAAAAAAGTTCACGAAAACATTTTGAGCAGAGGGAGTGTTGTATTATCGTAATTGAACTTTTGAAACTGTACAATTTTGGATTGCAATCATACTTTCACACAGCTATAAATTTCTTTAATGGAATTTTCTTTAATAAATGTGACCAAATCTTGTTGCTAAATAAAAATATTGTACATAGGTATAGTTTTCCTTGTTTGCGCTATTTTTTTTAATTAGCGTAAAATGTCCTATCGAGTTTATTCTTCCATTTTTTTGGGAAAATGTAAAAAAAACCGACGGTTGTTGCTTTTGCGTTCAAACTTATTTCGGTTTAATATGAATCTGTGATATTTTTTCGTACTGAAAGGTTAAAAACTAAGAGGTAGTCAATTTGTACATAAAGAAACGGATTCTTAATAAAAAAACTGAGAAAAGATTAATTCAAAAAAAAATTGAGAATATAAAATCCAAATATTTGACCCTCGTGGAAACTATAACTATATAAAATTGGATGTAAAAATATTGTAACATATATACATAAATATAATATGTGGTAAATGTACGACACCTTTTCCTTCTTGTTGAATTTTTACCAAACACAACGAAACTATCATTCCATTTTATTATCATTTTCACTCTAAGGTGAAGAATTCTAGACATTTTCAGCACATTATAGAATGTAATTTTCAAGTTGTCGGTGTCCTTAAGATTTCATGTTATAGTATGTTCATTAAATGTAAAAAAATAAATTATTTAAACTGTACTTTTGGGTTTTTAATGCACCTACCTTATGCCAAAAAGTTGTGTGGACCAATTCTTAATACTAAAGAGCGTTATAACACGGTGGAATTTATTGCAGCAATATATTGCAATGTCAGCAATATATTGCAAGTAATATAGAGCTGCAATATTGCATTGCAGTTTTTATATAAGCGTTAGGGCGTTTGCACACGGTGAGATATACAGGGTGTTTTTCAATAACATACAAATACTGAAGGGGTGATTCTTGGGCTCTTTTTAAGAAAAAAACTTTATTTGAACATATGTCCTAAACCTAAAGTTTATTATTACCTAATTTCTGCACAGCTGCTAATGCAGTATTAGCGTACAAATGAATGCATTTAATTTTCAGAAAATTTGTTCTAAATTGAAGGGGGCCTCCAAAAATAATTTTTATTTTAATAGAAAGCAGTGACGTATCACTTTTACCCTCAAAAATATTTGGCCCGCGTCCAGTACGGACGCCACTGTTGGAAATAAAAAATGTACCCAACATTGACATTTTTGCTATAATTTCAAGAACTGATTTCATTTGTCAGATTGACATAAGGCCATCAAATGGTCAACTAGATAACTCAAAAAAAAAAGAAAATTCATACTTTATTTAATAAAACTTCGATTATTTCAAAAACTACTGGATTTGGGTATAGGGAATATCCATATGGATCGAAAGGGCTTAAAAAACTGCATTGGTCACTGTTAAAAAATACAGGGTGATCTATTTGAAATAACAAAGTTATGGCCACTTTAATTTGGCAAAGTTTGTCAGACAATTTTAAACGCCCTGTACATGGATTCTGAAAATACAGTTTAGTTTCATTTAGTAGTATGTCTGAACATCATCGATACTCAATTTCAAGCTTCTAGCTGCATTATTAACAGAGATATCACAGAAAATACATTCGGCTGTTTTTCCAAAAAATATAAAAAAAATTGTAATATCATAAAAATTGTGCATTTTTGGCATATGGTGTTATTATCAAAGTCTAGTTAAAAAAGGCCATAGAATTCAAAAATTAAGTTAAAAATGGCACTTTCCATATAAAATAACGAAGTTGGTGTCAACTTCCGGTATAACCGGAAGTGTAATCAAAATGAAAATATTTTAGATCAATTCAAATTATCCAAAAAATACTATAACCAAAATTTCAGATTTTTAAGTCTTTTCATTATTGAGATACTTCTAATGGACGGTTACCGTGAAAAGCACGAATATATAACGAAAAAAGGTTGTTAGAAATGTTTTATAAAATCTTTTATTCCTATTCCTACTTATAATGCACAATAATTTAATTTAAAACAGCACTAGTTTGATTGATAACACTCTCGTTATCCCTTAGTAATTTGCTGCACATATCCATATTCTTCGTAATATTCTGCAAATTCCAATGTTTCGGTAGTAAAGCGTGTTCCAAAGTAAAACAGCTATGTCGAATGCATTTAATAGCCGTTGTATGAGCGGTGGAATGAAGTCTGATGCCTATATCGTGAATTAAAGTCGTTAGATAATTCTCGTTCTCGTTGATGCATTGTACTTCGATGGTAAATCCGGGTCCTTCGTAGTCCAGGCATTTGAGGTTGTAGATTATTGGAACTTCCGAATTGACCGGACGGATCGGGCCTTTTGCGGCCAATTCGTAAGCAGTTTGCGAATGAATGTCTACGCCGCTGATTTCGAACACTTTCTTTTGATGGGAAGCTTGCATAGCTGATAATATTTGTTGTATGTGGTTTTGATTAATGTATTTCCACGTCGATTTTTCTACGACCTAAAAATAAGTTCGTATTATTACATCTATATGGTGCATTTGGGTTTGGAATATGGTCATTTCCATGAGTTGAACAAAGAAAGATTATTATAATAACAGTGGTTAGAGTGAGAAAGTTGCAATGACACAATGTCACTCTTTCTTACTCCTTTATAAGTGTCTAATGAAAGTTGTCTTTATCGCACCCATAGATACAACCTATACTGCAAACTAAAATAAATCAACTTGTATAATTATGTGTGGAAAGTTTTACCACCGTATTCAGTTAGTTTTTTGTCATTCTTCTGTCATTTTAAAAACTCCAGAATCATCTAGAACTGTCTAGAACAATTAAATACGCTTCGGAACCATTTAGAACTCTTCAGACTCATTTAGAGCGCTCCAAAATAATTCAGAACTGTCTGGAATAATTAAAAACTCTCCAGAGTCATTTACAGAATCATTTAAAACTGTCCAGAACAATTTATGATGCTCCATTATCATTTAAAACTCTCCAGGCTCATTTAGAAAGCTTGATCATCATTTATAACTCTCCAGAATCATTTACAACGCTCCAGAATCAATTAGAACCGTTTAGAACCATCTAGGATGCTTGAGAACTATTTAAAACTGTTAAAAAAAATAAATATTAGAATATTTGAGCCAAGGCATTGTTTGGAAGAAGAAGAATGACAAAAAACTAAACTCATTTTCATGTTTAATGTTTAAAATTGTCATGTTTAAAATTCAAAATTATTTAATCGTTGGTTACAAAACCATTTGGTTATTAAAAAACTTCTAAATAAGCGGGTTATTTAAACGCTACCTTTCCAGTTTTGAAGCCATTATCAGTCGCTTTTCCAAATGATCCAGTGACTCTATAAGCCCTCGTCGATCTGTTTTCTCGTATGAACTTGGCGTATTGGGTTCCACTTCTTAATCCGAATAATAACACACCACTTGTATTCCATCCTAAGAAATTGGACCAGCTTACAGTCAAATCTTCGTCTAAATATCTAGGACCGACCACTAACGGGTGATATCTTAAGTCTATATGTGATATTCCTGAGGAAATGGCACTACTCGAGATGTCTTCGAGTGCATTTTCCGAAGATTCCGTTTCGACAATACTGTTTGTGTGCGGATCACTCGAAACCGGTAAAGCCGTTAATTTTGGATTTGGATGTCGTAATTTCACGTCTAATTCACTGAGATCCTTACACAATTTTGTTATGAGCTTTTTCCTCAAGCTTTTTACTGAAATTTCTGCAGGTTTGTAAACGCAAATTATTCCTTGTAACGCCTTCCACAATAACAACGAGTCATGCGGCATTGTTAATACTGGCAATCCATATATTTTATTCAAGTTATTAATTTAGTTTCTATTAAAAATATTAATTTTTGAATAAAAATATAAATCTTACATTCACACATGAAATAATACATAACCTTTTAAAAAGTTTAAATCACTGGCCTCTGGCCTCTTCCTATTACGAACATAAGCAACGATTTATATTCAAAATCAAAATAAAGTTGTGGTTGCTGAGGTGGTCAATCAACAACTCAATTGTAGTTTTTCACTTTATATTTCAACAGTAAATCGTCCAGAAATTAAACGCGAAATTATTTAGCGCCAGAAAATCTTGTTTTTGTTTTTACATTGACAAGAATGACAAACAAGTCAATCAAACAAGTAAAAAAAGAAGAACAAACAAAAACAACATTTTCATAACCTTACAATATTTACTGTTTGTTTTTAATTATTTTTTATTTATTTTGATGAATTTATTGGATTTTCGTGTAATTAAAAATGAAAAAGAATAAACCGTTGCTCTACGAGTACGATAAAGAACTAGCCTCAGCTTTTCAACTCGATTGCGAGTTCTTTTTATTAGAATATGAAAAGTATGAATCTTGTAGTTTTAAAGATTTTGTAACGCTGTGGCGTGAAAAGGCTTTTACAAATGTTTTTGCGTGAGTACGATTAAGTAAAACAAATAACTTTTTATAGAAGTGACTGAAATAAATAACTGTGTTTAATTAATTTGTAGGGATCAAAAATATGCAATGTTTCTTAAAGATTTTTGTGAGAATTGTTTCTGGATGGTTAAGAAATGCTTAATGTTTCCTAAAAGTATATACACTCAAATAGGGGCATTTTATTTACTATATGGATTGTATTACAAACAACCCGTTAGGTAAGTTATGCATTTGTGTAAGTATACGTTATAATAGAAGTTGAATCGAAGTGTGTTTCAGGAATTGGGTGAAAATAAGAATTACTTTAGAAGAATATCAAAAATTGTACGAACTAGTACTCGAAATGAAAAACCGTCGACAATTAGACGCCGTTTATATATTTTTTAAAATGAAAACGGACGAAGTCTTTTTATTTGTCGCAGAGAAAAATGCACTGGGGCCTGAAGACAGATTTGCCAAAAAAGTAGACCTATTTAAAAATGATACTTTCGTTAAAGTTAAAACTGAAAGTTGCTTATCGATGTTTCAAGATATATGTTCATCAGAATTACTCAAAAATTTTAACAAAACCGACAAGGAGTATTCAGATTTGAAAAAGAAATATTCAGGTATACAAGGGCAAGGTGAAAAGTTCTCGGCCTGACAATGAAAGACCTCGATTTTCAATTGAAAAATTACATTATTCTACTTATTAAGTCGAAATCTTTATTTTGAGACAGTTCTAAATGATTCTAGAGCGTTCTCAATGGTTCTGAAGCATTCTAAATATTACTAGACGGTTCTAAATGATTTTGGAGCGTTCTAAATGGTTCTAGACTGTTGTAAATGGTGCTGGAGGGTTCTAATTGATTCTAAACTGTTCTAAATTATTCTGGAGCATTCTAGATTGATCTAGTCAGTTCTAAATGGTTCAAGACAGTTCTAGATAACCCTGGAGCGTTCTAAATGATTCTAAACTGTTCTAAATTATTCTAGGGCGTTCTAAATTGATCTAGACAGTTCTAAATAATACAATATTGCATTACAGTTGAAATGTCTACTTTTCACACGTATGTGATACGATAATTTTCATTAACGCTTGTATAAAAACTGCAATGCAATAATTTATTGCTGAAAACTACTCATTTGAACGTTTGTATTTTAACAGCAATGCAATATTGCAGCAATTAATGTGTGAAAACGAAGCTCTTAGAGCATTTTCACAAGATTTTGGATTTTGAATGCTTGTTTTTTAACTGCAATACGATTGCATCTATTAATTGTTGCAATATATTGCAGCATGTAAAAACAGCTTTATATTGTCTAAAATTATTATATTATATTTTTAGAAAAGTGTTCCTACATTCCATCATTTTCGTCAACGCTTGTGGAATCTATTCAGACTTTTAAGCAGACTTTTGAAGAGATAGAGGGAGAGCCTTCTGACCAACCACAATCCAGTGTTAGTGAAATTTACGAATCCAGAACTGCTGCAAAAAATAAAGCGATGACTAGCAAAAATACTGGTTATAGGGAACAGAGAAATGTCAAACCAACTAAATAAATACAAAAATTGTAACGGTGAATCTCGTGAAAAAATCTTAATTTCCTTGCTTTAAAATGAAATGACAAGTATAAAATAATGTATATTTATTTGTAAAAATCTAATGTTATTAGAATTTGTACATAAATGATTATTTTTTGAAAATTGCTTCTTAAAAATGAGATTACTCACCACTTTTTCCTAGTCCATACAATTGAAGTTATAGTCCATATTTATAAAAAATGAAGCATATACTGTGAAGTAGAAGGTAAGAGGAAAAGGTTTTGCTTTGATCCATATTCATAACCCCAAATTTTTACTAGCAAGGAAACTCTTCGGATAAATAAAGTAAATGATACAGCGATTTCATCAAACTACTCGTAACAAGTATAAGGGTAAAAACACACGAGTCGACGGGTCTACTCGACATATGGTAAATACAAATTCGATGTATTAAAACATATTACAGTCACAACAAAGCCAAATTACAAAAAAAATTACGTTACAAGTTACAAGCTGTGTGGTGGCTGAGTAACTACTGAAAAGATTGTGAAAAGTTGCTGTGAACCTAGACTTACATTTTTACCAGCAAATCCTTTTCTTTTTAAGCAAATGACAAATGATTCTTTTTATACACAGAAAACATAAAACCTTTTGCTTTAAAACAATAGCAAGCTCCTCGAAGCAACTTCCTTCATTTCTTCTTATGCATACACCTTTTGAAGCAATTGCTTAATTTTTTGAAAGTCAAAGGTTGTGCTTCTTTTTATTATAAATATACTGAGTGACAAAAGTAAAAGAACACCAAGAAGCAAATTTTATTTTTCATTCAAACTGTAGAGTGTGTACAGCACCACGGTGCTGCAACACATTATTAATTTTTTTTTAAGTTTCGTTGTTAATTTGATGAATTAATTTTAATCATTTGTTTATTTTTCTCTTATACATGTAACTAGAATAAATGGTTAAATTTCAACAACAATTTTTTGCTTTTACTTTTGTCACTCAGTTTAAATTTCGCTAGATAGGAAGGTAGAAAACACCTAATGCATGAAGGTGGGGATAAAAATATAATTAAAACAACAGATGAACGTTTTAAAATAAATATTTAGGTTAAATAAGTATAATTCCTCTATCACATAGACACAGATATACATAACTATTCTTAACATATAAAAGTGGCAAAATATACCTAATACTAGTTTTGAATTTTTATAGATGATTTTTTTTTCACAAAAACAAAACTTACATATTTCATTTTATTGAAGCTAAAACTCGCCTGTATTTCAACATTTTTATAAACACATTTTACTTAAAATCTATTTTGGTCCATGTAAATTTAATTGGCAATATTTCCGAAACTTTCGGCTTAGGCACTCTTTCAAACGAATATAAAAACAGGTGTTATATAAAATATAAATACTCTTGTAAATGGTGCGTATTTGATTGTCTTTTTGTTTTAAAAGGCACTTTGGTTTAAATAACTATATAAAATCCAAAACGTACAACAACCTATTAATGAATAATGATACGAAGTAGTTAATTTTAATGGAATATTACTTTCGATGAACTTAAGTAACCCGATTATTTCACCAAAAAGCATAGTACATTTTAATATAAGTAGGAAATTTGTAAGAAAACAAACAAATTAGATTTTATAAATTTGCTAAAATAAAGCAATTTTGGAAATCATCAAACTGTATAGTACGTGTAAGAAACTAATGAAACATCTTAAGATTTTTATGTTATTTAAATTCTGTTCTCTTGGCTCTTCATAAATTTAAAATGTACTATTTTGTCTCTTATCACTACACAATATACAATAATTTATCATTCCCTTTAGAATGTTAAGGAAAAAAATATGTATTTAGTAATAATTGATTCGTATACCACGTAATGATCAGAACGTTTTAAGCATATTGTTGATATTATAATTTTTTTAAAGTAAACGGAAAATGCATATGGACATTAAAGAAAAAGCATTGAATGCTACGTATAAGTTGCCATTAACCGATTGATGATTTCAAGCACCTTAAAACCTAATTAAAGCAGCTTAGAATGGATTATAGAATTAAAAATTTTGAACCCAAATAAAAACTTATTAATTTCGAACCTACAGTTATTCTACAATCCATTCGTTCTAAAAATCTTGCATAGTTTTTGGTTTCCCTGACTTTATCTTAATTACAATGATTATTCCTAAATAAACAGATTTTTTTTATTTCATTTAGACGAATTTGTTGCAGAATATGATCCAAAGAAAATATTATGGTGCTTTAAGGTTTGGATACCGCTGCAGGAGTCGGGGTAGTAGAGCTGGTGTCATCACTCAAAGAATTGCTTATTGACACTGGAAAATAATGCACAAATTAATATTTCTCAAAAAAATACATAGAAGCAAATTGTCAGTATTTGACCAAACTAGTTAAGGATCATTTACCTCATTTTTCTAATAATAGTTCATTTAATCACTCGCCAATGAAAAAAATTGAATATTTGCTCAATTAATCTTTAATGAAGCTCTTCCTTTTTTGTCTAACTTATTACCATTACGTTTGGTTTTGTTGAATAATTTACAACAAAGACTAAGAGCGTTTTCACACGGTGCAACATATTGCAGCAATACTATATTCCAATATACAGGGTATTAATTAATTGAGTGCCGATACTTTATGATGTGAATATTTGGGTGATTTTAAGTTCTCTTAGTTCAAGCTTTATTCAAGCTACAGGGTGTTACAGCTTTAGAAAAAAATAACTCTTCAATCAAAATCTTTTTTTTTTCTCTTCTAAATGTCTGATATAAAGTATTTTTTTAAACAGTCACACCCTGTAGCTCAAAAACTAAGAGGCTTAGGACATATGTTAATATAAACTTTTCTTCTTAAAACCATCCAAATATTCACATCCTGAAGTATGGGCACTCAATTATTAAAACCCTGTATTGATGCAATATTGCATTGCAGTTTTGCAGAAAAAAATATTTGAACGTTTGTATTTTAACTGCTATACAATATTGCTTGCAATTTTTTACTGCAATACATTGCACCGTGTACAATATGCTCTAATAATGATAAAAATGTAAATGTAGTGAATTCAGACAAAAACATTTTTTATCAACGATAACACCAAAAAAATACAATTTACTAAACAATTCAATAAAATAATTTCGGACTCTTATATTACTAAATGCTAAGGAATTTGACATAATGCTCTCGAGACGGGATTCTATTTTCAATGCTTAAATCTCCATTATTTTTCGTTCTCTCGGTAAAACTCGTTAAGAATTCTTAACTAAAAAAGATCAATTGTGTTATAGTTAAATTACTTATTAAAATCAAGTTTTTTCCTCTGAGAAACCAAGTATACTTGAAAAATATATAATCGTTCACAAAAGGTAAATGTGAACAAACACTTACCGATGATGATGATTAAAATAACAGCTCCGATGACCCCCATAATGATCATCATTTTGATGTTCTTCCACCAGTATTTTCTCTTCAATTTTTGAGCCTGTTGTTCGAAACGTTTGCCCCCTTCTTGTAGGGCATCGGCCCTGCTGTCGAGCTCGGAAAGCTTCTGGTCCCTTTCCAAAACCTTTTCGACGTTCACTCGCATTATACCGACGACTTCATTGACCTGTTGCTGGGTCTGCTCCAGCTTGGAGGGCACTTTGCTCGCACTAGGATTTTCCATGTTTTCCTCTGGAAAGAAATACGTTTTGCTGGCCATTGTTCATTCCATCTGCGGAATACCTTATCAATAAAATTAGACATTGCAACGATAACAATGGTTTTATTGATAAGGATGACACATTGACATTTTTTACATTTAACGACTTACTTTAGAATTAGAAATGATTCTTTCCGCCACGAAAGTAATTTGTGCTTAAAATGTAGCGATAATAAGTGTTTAAACTGAACCAACTCAACAGTACAACTAATAAAAAATTAAAAAAAAAGCGATTAGATTTCAACAAGTAGCCATATTTTTATCGAATGACGTTTTATTAAAATCGAAAAGTGACAGATGACAACTGCATGTTTGCCAACGTACATTTGGGAAAATGTTCTTATAAAACTTTTTTCGTTTTATTTCGGTAGAATTTGCATTTCTTTTATCTACTTTTTTTTTCATTTTTGCAATCAATAGTAAAATTAAATTTAACGAACTGGTAAAAAAGTTTTTCAAAAATCTTTTGTTTTATCACTTTCGGAACGCGTCTCAAGTCTCGATTTAATGTGACATTGACATTAATGACATTTGACTTAACGCAATAATAATTTTGAAGGAAAATTCTTGATTTCTCGTATAATTTTAATTCGCATTTTTTCAAGAAATTTAATATTTACTATCAGTAAAATAAAATGGCCAAAAGGGGTGGAATTACATCGTTCGTTAGAGGAATATATTATGATGAATTTAAGTGGTAAGTTAAACCTGTCTTTAATACATTAGAGAAATTTATATATTGGAAATTCTAACTTTATTTGACGATTTTTCTCGTATGGTGACACAAAATTGACTAACTAAGGGTGTTATTTTTGTGTTTTTTATGAGCTTAACAATTTTATTCAGTATTTTTTTCTTCAGTTTCTTGTAAAACCTTTACACAAAAAACGTGTTATCTGACATCTTTCAAAATGCCTCTTTTTGAAAATTTTTCTTTCTAAATATATTATTTTTCAGGTCTCTTGTAAAATCCATCGGGCTTTTTGCATTTGGAATACGAATTGCTCAAGAGTTCGCGGGGTTAGAGTTTCTACCATCGCAAGCTTAGTCAATCGTCTGTTAGATATATATTTTTAATAATAGTATGAAAATAAATTATTCTTATTTGAGACTCTTCAATGCGCAGAGATATGTATGTAGATAATGTAGAAAAATAATTTCGCAATATTTTTTACATATATTTTATAATATAAACTCACACAAACACACAATATGAAACATTCTGTTTACATTGTACAAATTGATATTTTCGAATACTGGCATTTAGTTAAGTTTACTTTTACTATTCTCTTCAACTTGTTAGATGCCAGCTAGATCATATCGAACAAAATGTAAAATAAATATAAAAATCATAAAAGTTTCTGTTTATGTATAAAAATTTGGTATATTGTGACTTATTAATTATAAAAAAAACTATATACAAAAAAATATTTAAAAAAGTTGTATAAAATTTGATGTATCAAAATTGCTGCCAAGTAAGTTCTAGAATTCGTTTAAGTAATATATTTTTGATTCCTTAACATAAATTTCATTTTTAACTGAATATAAAATATCTGAGCAATTTACATATCTAAAAAAACTATGTAAAACTAAAATATTGTATGTATTACGTATTGAAATTTAAAATAATTAAGATAATTTCACTGCATTTATAAAGAAGCATGTGAAGAACAGCATTTAGTACTAAAATTTCAAATACCTGCAAATCAATTTCTAATTTCTATTTCTCATTTAACATTGTAACGAAATAATTTGAACAACACATTGTTGTTGTTGAACAACATAAAAACGTACAAAAATCTTAACCAACAACATCATCGGATACCGCCAATAGGTAACAACAATTTTCATAGAAATGTATAAATACGTTTAAAAATGGGATATTTTACTAGTCGTTATAAATTTTATAAAAAAAATTATAATTATATTGAATTAGTGTTTGCAGTCTCGTTGTTGTAGCTGATGATTTTTTATAAAATTTGCTAACAAATTACTAATCACAAGTCTTCGTTTCAAGTTCACCCATCGATTGAATAGTAGGTAAAGTTCGTAAGTTTTAAAATGACAATGACGTCACGAGCTAGCCTGTTGCAATGTTGCCGGGTTGTAATTGAAATACTTTATATCACTGATGTATAAGGTTATGTTTACAAATTAAAAAAAGTAACAAATAGTAGAATTTGAAAGAACATGAAAAGGAACATTGGGAGGATACGAACTCGCGAATATTAATTTACCTGAATAGTATAATACAAACGCACAAAAAACTAATAGAAAAACGCGGTAGAAACTGATAAAAGTACAGAAATCTCACGAAAAAATACCTAAAACAGACGAAAAACGCAAAAAGTACTCGTAAACTTGGAAAAAACAGGACAACGGCAAAAATCGCTGGAAATCATTTAGAACTGTCCTCCATCATTTAGAATGCTCCTGGATCATTTAGATCTGTCTAAAACCATCTAGAAAGCTTCAAAACCATTTAGATCGCTCCAGAACCATTTAGATCGCTCCAGAACCATTTAGATCTAATTATAACCATTTAAAACGCTCCAGAAAAAGACAAAAATCGCTGGGAAAGTCACAAAAACAATAAATAGTAGCCAAAACGTGTCATCTACAAAGAGCGGAATTTTGGGCTAACGATAAAGCAACAACCCATTGGTTCTAGGGATATTTCGAACTGCTTGGAAATTACTAAAAACGTCATTGCCATTATAAAACGTACGAACTTTACAGTATCTTTGACATCATAAACCATCCTTGGTTCGAATAACCAAATAACATTTAACAAGATTACAAAGTAATCTTGGTTTCTATCCCGTCACCGTTGCCGCTACTGCTAACTACAGTATTTTTAGGATTCAGTCTATCTAACGAGTCGACGCTTCTCTTTGGACGTTTCTCTTTCCTCGCTTCGTTGCTGATCACCGTACTCTGCGTGGTATTCCCCGCACTCGAAGAACTAAAACGAATAAAAGGAAGTAATACTAGGTACCCATTTGAGAGAAAAACTCTCGAGAGCAGCTCTCGAGAGTAGTTCTCGCCAGTGGATTTAATTTGAGAGTTAATGATTACTCTCCGCGAACAAGCAAGTCGCGAGTTGCTATCAAATCGACATAGCGTTTTTGGTACTATCGAGAGTAACAATAAAAATTTAAATGAAATCAATAGGTTTGTTCCTACAAAAGTTAGAAATAGCCGGTGGTCGTCAGGAGTCTGCGCAGTCATAATTTAGGCGTTCCAACAAACTCCACAGACATCTCTGATTCTGACTTGGTTAACAATTTATTGTTCCAACAGTTCAAGGGACTGGTTTTGTGATAGTTAGAAAAATTTTCTGATAGTACAGAGATTTAGAATCCGGCGCAAGCGCATTTTTAATTCGGGTTTATTTTGTATTTCTGAATATAGGTTAATTATTAGGTTATGTTGTTTTTTGTTTTTGTTTAATACTTGGTGAATATGTAATAAATGTAAAGACTGTTCTATCAAGAAATCGTAAATTTGATTACACCATCCAATCATAAACCGCGCATGCGAAATAGAAGAGTCAGAAACTTATTGGTAACAAATCAGTGACTTTTTGTAGGAACAAACCTATTATTTTGATTAACTCGATAGAGGCTCTAGAGTCTAGAGAGTAGTTCTAGCCAGTGGACAATGTGAGAGTAACTATTTGAAAGTTAATGATTACTATCCGCGAGTTAGCATGTCGCGAGTTGCTGTCAAGTCGACAGCTCAAGTCGACGAAAAATTCAAATGAAATCAGTATTCTGAGAGTGCTCTCCAAGAGTAAAGGTACTTAAATAATAAGTGAGAGACCAGCCACATGTCTATCGTTTATTTAATTACCCTAGTTCTTTTACTACTCTTGAAGGGATATTCAAATAACTATTTATAAAAATTCCAAAAGGTTTTATGCCCGATTGCACGACCTCCACTTAAATCTCCAGCTTAATTAACTTGCACTTAACTCCAAGTTTCACTTACCCATTTTAAGGATTGCACCACTGACACTTAGGGTCAACTTAGTAAAACGCTACTTAGCTCTGGCAACATTGCCTAGATTTAGTTTTTTTTTGGTGTTTAATGTTGGTCAGTCTGCAATTTGGCCAACTTAACTTCACATTACACTTCATATTTCGTCTGATTTGGGGGCGCATTCGCGCATTTAATATAAAGGTGGCATAACTGCAATATTCTGTGATTTGGAACGTTTGTAGAGTCTAACAAAAAAATCCGTCTTCGAATAAAATGAAAGTAAAAAAGCGAGTTTAGAAGTCCTAACTAGGGAATTTTACTAGGAAAGAAATAAACCGTCTTTTGATATAATTGTTCAATTCAAAACCATCTTGGAATGCAAGAAGTGGCGGATTCCTTCACAAAAATTTATACCACTTTCTCTAGTTAGACGGAATCTTTTTACAAAAGATGGTTCTACAAAACTATCTATATGTATATTATTTCGTTCATAAATTTGTCGTAGAAATAATCCATGATTAACAATCGTCCTCCAAACGCCTTTCCAATCTTCTTCCATGATTGTCGATATCAATATACATTTTTATTATGTATTATTACAGGTTATATTTTGTATCCCCAGATTTGCAACATTCTGAATTCCAATTTTACACTTTTACAGACATTTTTAGGTTAAGAGGAACTATAAGTTGTACATTTTCTACCGCTTAACTTAAACGCATCTTAACATTTTTAAGTTCCACTTATAGTGTTCCCCTCAGTGTTATAACACTGGTGCAATGAAATATCCGTCACCTAAAGTGTTAAGCTTTACTTACAATTTAAGTGAATGTCGTGCAATCGGGCATTAAAGTTAAAAATAAAAAGTTTTTTTTGATATTGAGCTAGAATAGCTTAACTCTTTTTCGTGAAAAATTGTACAAAATATCAATGTTTAGTGACAAATTCTGTATTGTGTATTTTTTTTAATTATTAATCTGTCTCAGATGTATCAGGTGGTCCAACCTCCTTAAAGCCCTAAAATTCTTTCGCCTATATTATACAGAGTGTCCCAATAGTGCGGCAAAGCCCATTTACTCAGTTATTATAATAGATACGAAAAATGGTAAATAGGAAAAATGTTAAGCACAATTAGGCGCACAATTTAAAATTATTTCGAAATATACAGGGTGGCCCATAAATCGAAGCCATACCAAACATACCTTTTTTTTAAAGGCAATGATATATTTTTATTTCATATTCGAATTCAGCTCGTTTTCACGAGTTTCTCAATATAAGATATTATATTACATTACTGAGTATTTAAAAAGTTATGGCCATTTTTATGTTCAAATCGTCATGACTTCAAGGCCCTGTATATCAGAATCTGTATCAGATAATGTGAATTTTTCTGTGTCAGCACTTTTTGAAAATGGTTTATTTCACAAAAATTAGTTACATTTTGTATACAGGGTGAGTCAAAACGCAAACATAATAATTACTCGTTTAATTTAAATGGAACACCCTATATTAATAATATTCAATGGGAAGCCTATTTCTTACTAAATCATTTTTCATAACATTTCCCTATACCTAACTGTCACCGCTTCTGAGATATTTTCAATTTTATTAAAAAATGTCCAGTTTTTGATATTATAATTTCATTTTAATCTAATTACCAATGACGTCGTCGAACTTTTTTTGCAAAAATTTATGGGCCACCCTGCATATTTCGAAATAATTTTAAATTGTACGCCTAAATGTGCTTAACATATTTCCTATTTACCATTTTTTCGTATCTATTATAATAACTGAGTAAATGGGCTTTACCGCACTATTGGGACACCCTGTATATATTATCCTAATTTTTGAATCCAAAATAGATTTGTCGGCTTATTTATAATAATTTTATACCTTTTTGTAGTTTTCTATAAATCTTACATTTTTGGAGATAATACTCAATTTTTGGCGTTTATACAATTTGTAAATCTCCAAAGTTTGAAACATTTTAGGCCGTTTTTAATAATAAAATTAATTTCATAGCACCTTTTTTAACTGATCCAGTTATATCAACAAAAATCTATTAGTCATTAGAAAATATTAAAGTAAAAAATATATTTCAGTAATTTATAAAACTGTTAAATATGGCAAACGTTATGATTAGTAAACAGATTTTTAATAAGTATAAAAGTAACTAATCTGTTAAGACGGTGCTAACGTGCTAAAACTGTTCCAAACTGTAGTTCACAAAACTCTCAGTAGAAACATAGTGAACACGATTCTGAGAGTACTAATTTTATAAAACTCGCAACTACCATTTTGGACACTCTAAGATAGTAAAAATTCGCGAGTTTACTCAAATGGACAAAGATCTGAGAGCAACTCTCGAGATGGACAGGTAACGTTATCGAACAACTCCCGCGAGCTTACCGAGACGTCAGGCTGCTCTGGCTATCGTTTAATTTACTGGAAGTAGGCCTGCGGTGGTCTCGTTCCCACGTGAAGCACATCTGATTCTCACCGTTGGTGTAATTCGAATGGGTATCCGACGTGTGGCTCGATTTCGAGCTAAAGTTGTACTTTTGCGGCGTGGGAACGCTTTTAAAATACGCTCCTACAAAACAAACAGTTTTAAAATCACATTTTTATTGTTACGTAGAAGTTATTGTAGAAGTGTAACGAACCAAACATCTACATTCGGTGCAAATATTAAGGTACTAGACAAGATTGGTAGGGAGAATAGAAGAATATGATTGGAGAGAGAATCTGGAGAGCGAGGTACTATACTATACTACAGGGTGTTAATTAATGCAATGTACTTATTTTAACGGGTGATTCTTGGGTCAATTTTGAGTCGAAAAGTTCATATAAAGATGTGTCCTCCGAAGCTCGGTTTTCGATATACAGGGGTTGTAAAGTTTTATTTTTATTTAGGTTTTTTTTTCATAAAGTTGAAAAACCGTTTGCGACATTACAATGAATTCTAGGATAACATATTATGGTATAAATACGCATTTTTTAAACAGAAAATATTCGTTTATTTTAACCAGTGGCGTAGATATGGGTAGGTCTTGGTGCAATTTTATCTAAAAAAGTAGTACGCCACTGTTTTTTTTGAAACTTTCTTTAAAAATTATTGATAATCATTTCATTTTAAACAAAAAAAGTTTCTTGCGTTTTTGCCGTAGAACTTATCATTTTAGAGAAAATAATTAAAAACTCTAGTTGTTACATGCAGCTCTTTTAACTTTTAATGAACAGGGCCGTATTAACTAACTTTTTAATAATTACAAATTGAAAAAAAACATACCCTATTATTTTCCAGAATATTAAAAAAATTTACTTGAAAAAGTTGTTTAGAATTAAAAGATCTATATGCAGTTAAAAAAAAGTATCAACTTATGAGACACCCTTTATAGTTTATTTTAAGTATGTATTTACTTTTTTTTAATATTTGAGTAGTCTAGGAAAATTCTCCGGCAATTTTCTATGATTTATTTAATATTAATGGTCATTTTTCGTGATCACTTTCATTATTTTTTCATTAAGATAATTATTTTATAATTTTTGCATTATTTTTTATTCACAGAAATGAATTAAATAAGCGCTTAAACTAAACACTACTTAATTATTCATAAAAATAACTTTTTAAAAGTCACTAAATTAATTGCAAGAATCGCACTTGACTAAGAAACCTCCAAAAATTTTACCAAATATACCTTTACATGTTAGTTTATCCTTATTATCCGCATTAATATTAGAAAAAAAAAATATCTTAAGAGGTACCGGACACCTATAAAACCGATTTTACTTCGAATCGTCAGTTTTTATCCGATTTTTATGAAATTTTGAGTAGTTACTTAATACATTTTTTTGCGCAACTGCTTAAAATTTTTGTAAAACTTATTTTCAATATAATTTTTAATTTTTTTGAGATTTTAGGAAAAAATGAGTCAGCGTAATTTTATAATTATTTAAATAATTTTTTTCGGTCTTATATTTTAAAATTGTTTCGTAAATTTTAAATGAGAAGCTTTCCCACCTATTTCATTTAAACCCTTGTAATGTGCTACATGAACTTTTCGTTCTTTCTTTCTCTCAAGAATCACCCATTAAAATAAGTACATTGCATTAATTAACACCCTGTATACTACATTAGCAGTGATGTTAAAATTACTTTATAATATGTAATTAATTACAATTACAATTACTTTTGGCAAATTGTAATTAATTGCAATTACAATTACAAAATTTGCGAATGTAATTACAATAACAATTAAAGTTACAATTACAATCACAATTACTTTGCTTTGGTGTCAGTTTTAAATAATTATTTAGGGATTTGCAATCGGAATTAAACTTTCCACGTATTGAAAATATTAAATAAGTACTTTTGTGTCCAATGTAATTGAAATGTAATTGTAAAATGTAATTGTAATTGTAACGAAAGGAGTAATTGAATTACAAATGAATTACAATTGAGGAGCTTGTAATTAATTACCGCCTCAATTACAATAAAAGTAATTCAATTACTTGTAATTAATTACTTAACAACACTGTACATTAGATATAGGCAATAAGCGTTGGAGTTCCAATAGTACTGGATATTTTGCGTCGGCTGGCCGGAGGAAACCGAGGGGTAAACCACTGAAAGAAATGTGTACACTAATTTCAAGAATTTCCCGAGTAATTCCCCACTATTCATTTAATTTCCCACTAATTCCTCTAATTCCTTACTAATTCCTAAAAATTGTAATTTTTAGGAATACCCCTCGGAGGAAACGTAACCCGTGTCATGTTAGCCACCAACTAACTAGCGAACTTTTCGGGCGCATGGTAAACAACTGGTGATGTTACAATTAATCCGTTTTCTTTAAAAAGGTTTAAAATTTTATCTCTATTGTATATAGAGGTAAAAAATAGTTAACTTAATAATTTTGTAATTATAAAATTCACATCCACCTTCTAACAAACTCTATATGAAGGGTGTAAAAATAAAATAAAAGGTGGCTGGACTAAAAAAATTAACCGATTTTTAATTTAAAAAAACCGTTTAATAGATAATTTAATTACAATTTTTTTTTTCAAATACCAAATTCATAGCTGCCTTCAAATAAACCCCCTACGGAGGGTAGAAAAAACAAAAAACGGTGACTAGAGCTGAAAAATTAACCGATTTTTAATTTTAAAAAACCGTTTGATAGATAATTTAATTACAATTTTTTTTTTCAAATACCAAATTCATAGCTGCCCTCAAATAAACCCCCTACGGAGGGTAGAAAAAACAAAAAACGGTGGCTGGACTAAAAAATTAACCGATTTTTAATTTAAAAAAACCGTTTAATAGATAATTTAATTGCAATTTTTTTTTTCAAATACCAAATTCATAGCTGGGAATATAGGGTGTAAAAATTTTATAATTGAAATAAATTTTAATTTAATAATGGATAACTATCAATTTAATTGTAAAGTTTTAAGTTCAGAAAAAAACTACTATCATGCTAAACTATTAACACATTACGTTAAAGGGGTTGAGCGCGTTTTATTAGGAAATAAATATATTTTTAAAAAACCCTTGCATATGAGTATAGACGCGATTTCAAATGCAAAAAGGGATTTGCTGGTTGCCAAAAATTTACAAAAAATTAAGTCCCGTGGTGTTTTCAGAAATATAAAATGCGAAAATCTAGCCAAATTTGATCGAGCTTCCGATGATTTTGTGGATTTGTATTTAATGCAACTGGATAACTCTGATTACATTAAAAAAAGTCGGTAACCCCATGTATGCGTATATTCATAGTAAAGAGCAGCTTACTTTAATTAAAGATTGTCTTAAAAATTTGTCGCAAAATAAAATAACAGCATACATGGATGCTACGCCATAGTAATAGAATTTTATTATACTCTCTAGTCATTCGAATTGAAAGCCAGGATAAAGGAGATAGTACCGTATGTTCAATTTCAGATTTTATTTCTAGTAATCACGATATAATTTCAATTAAAAATTGGTTAGAACATTTTAAATTGTTTTGGTTAGAATTTAGTCCTTTATGGCCAATTTTCGATAGAGTTGTTACAGATTTTAGTATGGCTGAGCTAAATGCTTTATGTTGTGCTTTTAATGACATGTCTTTCATTAATTATATTAATTTTTGCTATGACCACTTAGTAAACAAATTGGAAAATAAAAATATAACTCACCTCGCTTGATGTTGCGCTCATATAATGAAAATATTTTCAAACAATGTTAATAATAATTATATATCAAGATAATTCTGTTAAAAATATATTAAAAGAATCTTTGGCTGCTGTATCAAACATGAATTCTATCAAGCAAATAGAACAATGGTTTAAATATTTTATGATTATTACGTGTTCGAAATACGAGGGGCTAGCAGTTATAAACGCGACAGATCAACTTATTAAACTCACGGTCGAAGATACAATTTCCGCTGAAAGTATAAATTTAAATCTTGAAAACAAGCATGATCTTCAATTTGGTTCGAAATATAAAAGTATAATCGTTATTTTACCAACATTTTAATTCGTTAAAGGAAAGCTTTTTAGTTGGAATTAACAATGACGGTAACGGTATTGAAAATAAATTTTACAATCCAACATTTTTCAATGATACCTTAATTCGGTATATCGCGTATTTACCTTTGTGGACGAGCATCGTACACGGAGAAAGATTTTTCGGAAATAATTTGCCTCAAAAATGTAGTAGAGTCATTAGATCCTTAAGAAATTATCAATTTCCTTGATTTGAAGGTTTATTTGAAGGCAGCTGTAAATTTGGCATTTGAAAAAAATAATTGCAATTAAATTATCTATTAAACGGTTTTTTTAAATTAAAAATCGGTTAATTTTTTAGTCCAGCCACCGTTTTTTGTTTTTTTCTACCCTCCGTAGGGGGTTTATTTGAAGGCAGCTATGAATTTGGCATTTGAAAAAAATAATTGCAATTAAATTATCTATTAAACGGTTTTTTTTTAATTAAAAATCGGTTAATTTTTTAGTCCAGCCACCGTTTTTTGTTTTTTTCTACCCTCCGTAGGGGGTTTATTTGAAGGCAGCTATGAATTTGGCATTTGAAAAAAATAATTGCAATTAAATTATCTATTAAACGGTTTTTTTAAATTAAAAATCGGTTAATTTTTTAGTCCAGCCACCGTTTTTTGTTTTTTTCTACCCTCCGTAGGGGGTTTATTTGAAGGCAGCTATGAATTTGGCATTTGAAAAAAATAATTGCAATTAAATTATCTATTAAACGGTTTTTTAAAATTAAAAATCGGTTAATTTTTTTAGTCCAGCCACCTTTTATTTTATTTTTACACCCTTCATATAGAGTTTGTTAGAAGGTGGATGTGAATTTTATAATTACAAAATTATTAAGTTAACTATTTTTTACCTCTATATACAATAGAGATAAAATTTTAAACCTTTTTAAAGAAAACGGATTAATTGTAACATCACCAGTTGTGTACCATGCGCTCGAATAGTTCGCTAGTTAGTTGGTGGCTAACATGACACGGGTGGAAACGTACCGTTCGTGGAACCGCTATCTCTCCAAATTTTCAGTCTGTGCGCGATTTCGCTGAAATTGGGCCGTCGATTCGCCTGTTCGGCCCAACACTCAACCATTAGAGCGTAACAGTAACTGGGACAAGCATCGGGACACGGTAACAGTTTCCTCGATCTTATCATATTGATCACTTCCTGGTTGTTGTAGCCGTAATAGGGCTGAAATTAATGAATTGTTTATGAGTTACGGGTAAACGGAGGTGTTTGTATTTTGTATTTACCTGTAGACCGTAGCTGTATATCTCCCATAAGACCACGCCGTAGGACCAAACGTCGCTTTCGGTGGTAAATTTACCGTATAATATTGAATCGGGAGGCATCCATCTGACGGGTAACAATGATTTCGACTGCACTCTGTGCGTGTAAAAAATTAAAATTAATAAATTTGCAGACGGAATAAGAATGGCTCTCGGCCATATCTCACAAAATAATTGTAGTAGAGACTTGCGGTAAAAAAATCTTATTACTAAATCGGCCAAAAGAAAATGCTGGAAATAATACTTGATGATTAATAATAAATTGATTATTTTTGTGGATGGAACAACGCTAATTAGAGGCTTTTATATTGGGAGTGTAACAAAAATGTCTTCTATTTAATCTATTAAATCTATTAAATTATTAATTCTATTAAATCTATTAAATATCTATTTCTTCTTTTAGATATATTTTAGGTTAGGAAAGGGATATCAAGATGCAGTTTTCACAGGCCTGTTTGGGAATTATTTGACTATTTTTCTTCAAAGAAAAAGGTATAGTTGCATTTAATTTTTTTTAGGTTATGTCGGAAAATACCCTCTTGCGGCCAAGCAAGCATTTAAAATTATATCTTGTATAGTGTAAATTATAGATCAAGGAGAGTCCTTTTCAACGATTTCATTTTTATGAAAATCAGTTCAGCCGTTTAAAAGTTATTAACATTTATTTGTCAAAATGTTCAAACCAAAACCTCCCCAGTACTTTATTTTAAAAGATAGAGTCAAAAATATACCTTTCTGACCCGCTTTTTAAAATAAAAATCGACGTCTCCGAGCTTTTTACCCCAATGGACAAATTAAGCATTTAACGAATTTGTTCCAAACTTTACACTTTACTTTACACTCCAAACACATTTTTGCTACCTTAAGGGGTAAATCAAGATGGCGGATACTCCCCCTAGCGGCCATTTTAGAGACTTAAAAATTATTTCCAGCATTTTCTTTTGGCCGATTTAGTAATAAGATTTTTTACCGCAAGTCTCAATAACAATTAGCTTACGAGATATGGCTGAGAGCCATTCTTAGAGGACCACCCTGTACACAGTGACAAAAAAAGTACCCGGAAAATTGGAATAAAACGCAATTTTTTCTTGAATCTCCTTCAAAATATGCTACTTTTGAAGCGATACACATAGTAAGATTGCCTTTTACAATCATCAAAACATTTTTATAAGCCCTTTTTGGTACAGTTTTTAGCTCCTTCGGTGAATTTTCTATGATTTTCTATGTCAAAACAGGATTCCCGGAGTGGCAATTTGAGTTTGGGAAATAAAAAAAATGTCACACGAGGCTATATCTGGTGAGTAAAGCGGCTGGTCGATGGTACTTCACACGAACCAGCATCTGCATCGACCAGTTGATATTTGAAGGAAATCAATCAATCAATGAAGGATTTCAACGAGCCCAGTCTCAATGCGCAGCATGCCTGATTGGTTGAACGAGAGATGTTGAGGTCAAGTGCTACTTTTCTAATACTAACATGATGATTTTCGAACTCAATTTCCTTCATTTTCTCACCGTTATCATCAGCTGAAGTGGTCGAAGACCGTCCGGAACAAGGCAAGTCTTTAGCGGTCTTCCGACTGTTTTTAAAAGTTTTGTACCATTCGTAAATAGGGGTTTTCGATAAAACAAAATAACCTTAAGCATTTGAATCGATTCGGCTGACGAAATTCTAGAGAAGACAAAATATGAGACAAACTCTTTGTTCATTATTTTTGTCCATTGCAAAATTCCCAGACCACTACTGAGATGAACTGATTCAATCAGCTGCTACAACCAAACTGATTGAGAAATATCTCTAATTTTTGGCATGCTTATTAAGAACAGTGTTGCCTATGTACAGAAACTTGAAATAGTTAAAAATATTAAGTACCTACAGGTAATTTAAAACAGAATTTCCGGATACTTTTTTGTCATAGTGTATATTTATTTACCTGTAGTAATCACAGCTGTACATGTCCCTGCTTAGGCCGAAATCGCTGATCTTCACCACCAAATCTTTGGAAACCAAGCAGTTTCGAGCAGCCAAATCTCTATGAACGTAGTGATTAGATGAAAGATACTCCATACCTACAAGAAAATATATATTTTATTCACAGAAGATCTAGTAAAAGAAACTTACCTCTAGCAATTTGCTTAGCTATATCCAGAAATTGGTTGTGCGTTAGACATTTTCCTTCCTCGGGCGAATTAGCGATCAGGAATTCGTGTAAATCCCCCTTAAAATCGCCGTGCAAATTAAACCATGAAATTCAATCGTGGACAAACGAAACCACTTACCTCCGACATGTATTCGAAGAGCATACACATTGGCTCCTGTTTCATAACAACACCCAGCAAGCATATGATATTGGGATGCTTCAATTCCGAGATCAGTTCGATTTCCCGTTGGAAATCCGCCTGAGTTTTCGCGCTGGCGTTCTCTTTCAACGATTTAACGGCCACGAATATCTTACCGGTTTTCGTCTTCAACTCGCCTTTGTAAACTTTGCCTGTAAATAACCGTATATACAGATGGTGCAAAACAAATATTAATGCACGTCATATAGAGGTTGCTCCATTTTTGATTGCAATATAGGTTATATACTCCATGGGTGCGATAAAGACAACTTCCATTTGACACTTATAAAGGAAAAGGAAAGAGTGACATTGTGTCATTACAACTTTTCACTCTGACAACTGTCATTTTAATAATCTTTCTTTGTTCCACTCATAGAAATGACCATATTGCAATCGGAAATGGAGCAAGGTGTATGATTTGCTATGTCACAAATAGGCAGTGTTGTCGAACTTTTATTGAGTTTAAAAAATTTAAGAATTTTCTAAAATAGTCAAATGGGAAAATGACAATAAATTGAAAATTAGGGGTACTTGTTTTACGTTTCTAAACGACGGACGCATTGCTCACTATAATTAATCATCAAATTTCTTTATCATCTGAAATATATTTAACAGTGCGATTAAAAAAATAGTGTACAATTGACCCTTAAAAGAGTACATAGTGAAAGTTCTGAGAAAACTTCTAAATCTGAATTATTTAGAGCTCAAATTGTGTCATTTCTAACGTGTGAAAAAAGATAACTACACAAAAAATTCTTATTTCTTGAATATACGGCTGAAGAGTCTTTAGTACTTGAGGCTAGTAAATTAGAAAAAAGAAGAAATTGAAAATTAAAAGTACCGATCGGATGAAAATTAATAATAATTTTATATATAAACTGAATTTTGACAATATATATTTTTTGGATTATTTAATTCTGCTTTTTAATATTTTCTATCATCCCTTGTTAATACTAAATTAAATTGTGCAAGTTGTTAAACGTAATCTAAACTGCTCCACAAAAGTTAAGGAAGTTCACAAATAGTGAGACAGGGGCAAAAAATCCACTCAGATATGAGAGAAAAAATTTTATTTCGCATATTTGAAAATTTGGGGATCAAAAAGTCTGTAACATTCAAAATAATCGCAAAATTTGCGAAGTTCCTTAACTTTTGTGGAGCAGCTTATTTTGTGTATTTATTATTAAAAGTAGGGCGCAATGCTTGTCAAATATGACGACAGTAGTGACGTGTATTGATATTTGTTTTGCACCAACTGTAGGAATAAAAAGTTGTATGGAGGAAACCTGTAGAGTTGCATTTAATAATTTGCTATTACTCCAATGACTTACCGAAGGCTCCCTCTCCCAATTCGTCGACGAACCTGACCTCCTTGAAGGTGTATTGGGGCACGGATTGTATGTTGTTTTTATTGGAACCGTGATGGTTCCGTTGGGGCGGCAGATGCGGCGGTAATAACGAATTCATTTCCATAGTGGGCGCGCTCGGACCCGGACTTCCGTAGATGTTTTTGCTCACTTGCGGCAAATCCTTCTAACCGAAATTAATAGAAACGAAAATTATTATAAAGTGCATTTCTTTAATGTCCCCCCCCTTTTATTTTTTGAACGGATCAACTTAGAAAATTGAAATTTGGGATAATGAAACTAATGCATGATTACTATTTTTTGGAGTAAAATTGACAGTTGAAAATTTCAAGATGGCGACTAGGCACCATCTTGGGAAATAAATTTAAATGGAAAGGGGGGTCTTGTGATATATCATTTTGAAGCTCCTGACAAATACTCTACAACCCTGGAATATAAAGTCAATATCTGCACCTGCTACAAAATGGCGGACATTTAATAATTACCTGAATACATCGACGTTTAACGTCATAATTTGAGGAAATAAGCTGAGTTCAGTTCAAAAAATGCTCGAAATGGTTGCCTTGAACTTCTTGATACAAGAACAGCCTATCCGAACATTTTCGAACATAGTAACGTCGATGTTTCTACAAATATCTGTAATTATTTCTCGTATATCCAATATTGAAGCAGGTTCAGTTTCGTACACTTTTTGCTTCAAATAACCCCATAAAAAAAGTATAAAGGTGTTAAATCTGGCGAGTGGGCTGGCCATTCCGTAGGACCTTGACGACCAGTCCAACGACAAGGGAAAATAGCATCCAAATAGTTCATTTTTAGTTCATTACTTGTCTAGAGTAATGTGGTGGTGGTCCATCTTCCAATGGACGAGAATTGGCCATTTTAGAGTTAGTTTACGTGGCACCTAACTACAATAAGAACTTACTCCCAAAATATAGTAATCATGCATTAGTTTTGTTATCCTAAATTTCAATTTTCTAAGTTGATCCGTTCAAAAAATAAAAGGGGGGGGGCATTAAAGAAAGGCACTGTATACATCGTATTACTTCATTAATATTAATATTATGGTAATTTATAATAAAACGCCGGGCACTAACGATGATTGGCGATAGAAATTAAGAGGAGTTTCTCCGGCGTAGAGAGATAGAAGGGTAGACGTAAAATAATTCGCTGATTACAAAAATGAAAAGTGATTCGTCAGGAAAATTGGTTTTTTCCGTAATTCCATTTTAAAAGTAAATAATTGTGAAATTTTTGACAGATTTCTAAAGAAATTATTTGATTGACGATGCCTGTTCGTTTGGTTCGAACGGAACTACACCAAAGTGAGAGACTTTTTCGTTATTTGCAACATTTCGTCGGTTTTATTGGATGAGAATTAAAGAAATTATAATAATTCGCATAGTTATATGTTTTTTTTGGTTATTTATATTTACTAAAAAAACCGAGAAATGATCAAATTAATTTCAAAAAACTTACACTAATGACAGCGACGAAGAACAAACTTCGAACTGTCAAAGTTGTCATTTCCGTTACTACGGATACGTTGACATTTAATTCGATGTACAGGGTGTTTTTTTCATTAGGGAAATCGTAAAACTTTATTATACAACGGAGTACATTACTGTACACCTTGGTGCATTTCAGTTTGCAATATGGTTATTTCTATGAGTTAAATTATTAAAATTTAAAATTATTAAAGATTATTAAAATAACTGTTGTTAGAGTGAAAAGTTGCAATGACAATGTCACTCATTCTTTTTCCTTTTATAAGTGTCTAATGGAAGTTGTCTTTGTTGCACCTATATAACCTATATTGCAAACTAAAATGAATCAATCTATATACTATTAATTATTTATCTTACATTTTGTAAATTTCGAGTGAGCTTGTTCCTTCTTGTGCAGTAACAGTAGGCGAACAGGATCACGACTACTATGAGTCCAATCATGGGACTGACGATGTATAATCCGTAAACGAACACTTGAATTGAAATACATTAATTAAATGAGAAAAATTTATCGAAATGAAAGCTTACTGCATTTTTTTACACCGCACGGCTCCCGCAGATTTTGTTCGACGTAACAGAACGGTTCGCTTTCCAATTCTTTCGGATTCCTGAAATTTACAGTTTTTATTAAATCAATTTTATACAGTACGATAAATGCTTTAATTAAACATCTTTCCTGTGATCCTTACAGGGTGGAAACGCCAAATGGAATAAATTCATTATTACGATAATGGTTATAAACAGTTGATTCAAATGATTCTGGAGTGTTCAAAAAGTTTTTAGACAATTCAAATAATTCTGAAGCTTGCTAAATGTTTTTAGACAGTTCATAATGCTTCTGGAGCGTTTTAAATGGTTTTAGACAGTTCTAAATGACTCTTGAGAGTTCTAAATGGTTCTAGACAATTCCAAACGATACTGGGGCGTTCTAAATGATTCTAGACAATTCTAAATGATTCTGGAGAGTTCCAAATAGTTCTAGACAGTTCCAAACGATACTGGGGCGTTCTAAATGGTTTTAGACAGTTCTAAACGATTCTGGAGAGTTCTAAATGGTTCTAGACAGTTCCAAATTATTCTGGAAATTATCCTAAATGGTTTTAGACAATCCTAAATACTTCTGGAGCGTTCTAAATGATTCCGAAGAATTCTGAATGGTTCTAAACAGTTCCAAATGATTCTGGAGCATTTTAAATAGGTTTAGACAATTCTAAATACTTCTGGAGCGTTCTAAATGGTTCTAGACAGTTCTAGAGTAAGTAAGTAAGTACTATAGTCGAAGAGTCGACATTGTATATTTGGTTGTGTCTGATTTTTTGATCGAGCATAAACGCATACATTAGTGCATATTGTGAAAGCTTTTAGTGCATATTTTCCAAGCTCTACTTATTATTAAGCCTGAAACGGAAAATTTTATAATTATGATTTCATTTTTCTATAAATATGCACAGAAACCGAAATAATGAAAATATTCCATTTGGGCGTTTTTAGCCTGTATTTTAATGTTTAATGCGTGTTTTCGAAATAAATAAAACATATTTATTAAATTTGTGTAAATAAAAGTGGGCAATAATTGAAAATAATTCATCATTTACCTGCAGTAATTGTGCCCAGCTAATTCTGGATTATCTGAAGTAGGCACGTGGAATTGATGGGACCATCTGATGCAAGATTTCCCGCTGGAAGACTTATCTTGCGTACCTCGGTACTCTTTCCCCTTATCCCAAAAACATGTATCCTCTGTATACAAAAAAATAGTTGAGACAAAAATAAAGAAACTAATAATATAAATATAAAAAAAAAACAATACCTACCTCTTTTAACGTTTAACTCTCCCACTCCTAGCATCAAGCAATGCTTCGAGCTGATATCAGTTTCAGAAGGTAGCTGTTCACACAATTCCAATTCCATAATTTGACCTACATAAAAAAATTAATTACCTAATAACTAGATTATAACAGAATTAAGGACGCCACTTTAGACTATTTTTAAATGGGAAAACATAGATTCAGTAATTCTAGTAAGATTCAAATTTGGTTTCATCAATTGAATTGAATCTTTTTTATAGCAATATGCACACTCCAAACAATGATATCTTCTATTTCTAATCTCACCTACTTCATTGCATATTTAAGAAAATAGAAATCAAAAACTGTTCAAGACTTCTTCAAGACTTCAAATGTGTGAATAATTTTAGTAGGATAAAGAGTATTTATTACAGAACGACGTCTCCTAGTTTATATGGATCCACAGGGTATATTAAATTGAAAAAAAAAACAATTTAAGTATGTTAGCAAAGTTTGATGAAAGATTTTTGTAAACTTTGCAAATTTGACTAGCAACAGCGTTGCCGTTTTTCAGATATTTGTGGATAATTTGCCCTTTCTTAAAGGGCAGGTAAAATGAAATGAGGAATTTCCAGTGCACAAGACTAGTTTTGGAGCACTTTTATGACTGTTTTTAAATCCCTACATTCATATTTTCAAATTGCAGAGAAAAGAAGTGAATTTGAAAAATACTGAAAAGGATCTCTTATTTTACTTTCTTGTACGTTTGATATTTATGTCTAGTGTAATCAAACACGGATCATCTACTATAGTTAAACTATTCTTATCCCATTTACTGGGATTCCCATTTATCCCCAAATTTTCATAAAAAAGCCTTCAGCCATTCTGACCCAATATCAAAAAATCTCTTTTTATTTTAAACTTAAGTACCCTATAACTTCTTTATTAGACACTTTTGGATATAGGTAAATTAGCTTAAATCATCTTATTTTCGTCCCAGAAATCTGCAGTTAAACCATGTCCCAATCTTTTAGAACCACCCTGTTATATTACCCCACGAATTATGAATTTGAGGGCGTGCTTTGAAGTACCTACTACTCCCAGACTTGTTGTTGTTGTTGTTGTTTTTATGCGGGCGGTCTTTCCAGTCCCGTGACCACCTAGATCTAATGATCCTCTGTAGTTTCCCGCTGTTTCCCAAGGTCACTGATTCTGCCAGAGGTCGCAAGTATTTGCAAACCTCAGCAGTTCGGATGCCCTTGTGTTTTTGAGATCGCTAGGATCTAATGAGGTCCTTCCCCAGGTATTATACCTTCGCAAGGATAATGCTGGACAGTGACACACTCCCAGACTTACTTATAACTAAATGTCTCTTGGCGATGCTGTACTCCTTGCTGCAGAGCTCGTTCTCCAGCAGTAGACACTCGTCTCTGCATATCCTCCTCAAGGAATTGGTCAATTTCGTCCTGATGTTCATCGATTTCTGTTTATTATCGACGTGGCTCAATTCCCGTTGGTGGTGGGTCTGGTACTCTTCGATATTTTCGCGGTCCAGGCACAATGGGAACGCTGAAAAACACACGCTCGGCTCGGCGAATTTGCTGCACACGGTCGATATATCGCTGGAAATTGAAAAATTATTTAATTATTTGAAAAAAAAAAAAACATTTAAAAAATGAAATTTGATGTATCCTATAACTACAATTTTATATTGTATAATAAAACAATACGTTTCTAATTAAAGTGTTCTTTTAAATTTTAAAATATCTACGTTAATACGGCAACGTTGCGACCTAAATTGAACCTATGAATTTAACCTATTTTGAAAAATGACAGACGTCATCGCAACGTTGCCAGTAAGGTCTAACAGCTTTTTTGTGTTTGTATGCATTTTTTTTATTTATTCAAAGTTTTTTTAATAAAATTTGTGTGTGTAGTGTGCAAAAAAATGGATCAATTAAATACAGATTTGTCTTTTCATCGGTAAATAAGGTTATGTTTTATTGTTTTCAATTGAACCAGTGAAGTAGGGCACTCGATATTCTTTTAATATCATTTAATTATGCTTATACCGATAAATAATTATTGAATAACTCATTGTAGCAACCTAAAAGTAAAAAACTTAAAGAAAAATGAATGTTAAAATGAGCCTTAAAAATGTAAAAATGATTTTTTTCCTTACAATACTTCAAAATTTCACGCCACTGGTAATCATAAAAAGACACTGGTTACAACGTTGCCAGCAGTTCCTAAGAGATATGTCTTTCTCTCTCCCACTCATTAGCAATTAAAAAAAAACAGTCCGCAATTAGATGGGATTTATCAATGGAACATCTGTACCATTTTCCCTATCGTATTACAAGCGTGTATTACATGCAAGTTCACTTATAAGGTAAGCTAGAACTGGCAACATTGTAAATTACTGCATAGTTCAATACACTTTAAGATCATTTAGTTGGTAGCAGTGATGTAATTTTTTGAGGTTAGACGTACCCTAACCTCACAAAACTTTTAAGTGTTTTAACTAAATAATTTTTTGTTTGTAATAATTTTCAATATCAACAACTTCTACTTCATCAACTATTTCATCTGTGTTATCGCTCATATTTAAATTTTTGAAAAAAAAACAGCACAAAAGAAGCAGAGATGTATTATAGGAAAAACTTGTGATATACAAGGTGTCTCAAAATTGACGCCCGACCTTTCGGTTTATGAATAAGGAGATCAAAAGGCGTAAACGAAAGAATAAAAATTTTACGTTTTGTCTTTGGTTTCCGAGTTATTGATAAAAACAAACAACTTAAATTCAATCGAAAAACGTTATTAAAAATGAAGTAAGCTTAAAACGAACGAATGGCATAGGTTGCTGTGATTATTTTAAACATTTTTAATTAGTTATGTAATAAATGTATAGGTATAACCATATTTTATACTGTTATTTAAAAAAAATGGAACGTTATTATCCAATTGAGAATTCTTTCATATGTTCAAAGTGAAGATATCGACTGTATGACATTTATACCTACTTTAGGCACTAATAATGACAGAACTAATTAAAAATTTTCAAAATCATCATAGTAACCTATGTCAGTCATTCGATTAAGGCTTACTTCATTTTTAATAACATTTTCAAATTGAATTTGAAATATTTGTTTTTATCAATAACTCGGAAACCAACGATAACATGCAAAATTTTTATTCTTTCGTTTACACTTATTTTCGTCTCCTTATTCACAATGCGAAAGGACGGGCGTCAATTTTGCGACACCCTGTATTTTCATCATGCGATTCTAGGGAGAAAATGGGCATTGGTCTCTTAATGTCTTTGCTGAAATGCTATTATCAAACAAAACACCGAAAAATACGAAAAAAAAAATCATAATTACTTCGATTGCGATATAACCACGAAAGCTGCATCGAGCTTATCCTCGATTTCCTTTTGCGTGTAAGGCGGTTGGATGAAAACGTATTTTCCCGCCAGCAATCGCCTGCACCGTTGGCCCGTGTACATTTGGCAAAGAGGCTCGGAGGCGTTGTGGATTTTCGGCGTGTTTTCCATGAGTTTTCCCGACGAATCCAAGTCGAATTGAATGGGCGTCGAGAACGTTTTGGATTTTCCGGCGCCGGACGGTAGAAAGTCACCGTCGTTGGTTTTCGAGATGCTGTTCGGCATGAATGTCGTTATTTCACCGAAACTGCAATTAACAATAATGTAAATTTATTATTAAATTTAATAAGACTTTCTAAATCATCTACAGGGTGTCCCAATAGTGCGGTAAAGCCCATTTACTCAGTTATTATAATAGATACGAAAAAATGATAAATAGGAAAAATGTTAAGCACCTTTAGGCGCACAATTTAAAATTATCTCTAAATATACAGGGTGGCCCATAAATCGAAGCCATACCAAACATACCTTTTTTTAAAGGCAATGATACATTTTTTATTTCATATTCGATTTCAGCTCGTATTCACGAGTTTCTCAATATAAGATTTCATATGACTATACTGAGTATTTAAAAAGTTATGGCCATTTTTATGTTCAAATCGACATGATTTCAAGGCCCTGTATATCAGAATCTGTATCGGATAATGTGAATTTTTCTGTGTCAGCACTTTTTGAAAATGGTCTATTTTCACAAAAAATAGTTACATTCTGACAAAATTACATTTTGTATACAGGGTGAGTCAAAACGCAAACATAATAATTACTCGCTTAATTTAAATGGAACACCTTATATTAATAATATCCAATGGAAAGTCTATTTCTTACTGAATCTTTTTTCATAACATTTCCCTTTACCTAACTGTCACCGTTTCTGAGATATTTTCAGTTTTATTAAAAAATGTCCAGTTTTGATGTTATAATTTCATTTGGATCTAATTACCAATGATGTTGTCGACCTTTTTTTGCAAAATAATAGTAGTAAATAGTATGTAAATTGTTTCTACAGAGTGGTTGCCTTAAATGGCGACAAAATTCGAGAGGTCAAAACTGTATTATTCGAAGATTTTTTTCAGAGTGCAATACACTGTGACAAAAAAGTACCAGGAATTTTTTATGTAAATTACCTGTACTTAACATTTTTAACTAGTATTTCAAGTTTCTGTATGTAGGTAACACTGTTCTAAGTAAGCATGCAAAAAATTAGAGAGATTTCTCAATCAGTTTGGTTGCAGCAGCTGATTGAATCAGTTCATCTCAGTAGTGGTCTACGAATATTGCAATGGACAAAAATAATTAAAGAGAGTTTCTCTCATATTTCGTGGGGCGAATCGATGCAAATGCTTAAGGTGACACTGTTTTATCGAAAACCCATATTTAGGAATGGTACAAAACTTTCTGAGACACTAGGAAGATCGCTAAACACTTGCCTTGTTCCGGACGGTCTTTGACCTCTCCAACTAATGATAGCAGCGGGAAAATAAAGGAAATTTTCCTTCAAAAGCTATATCGTCAACTGGTCGATGCATACATGTTGGTTTGTGTGAAGTACCATCGACCAGCCACGTTACTAACCAGATTTAACATCGTGCTACATTTTTTTATTTCTCAAACTCAAATTGCCATTCCGAGAATCTCGTTTTTACTTCATAAATGCCATCAAGGAAAATTCGCAGGAGCTAAAAGCCGTAACAAAAAGGGTCTATAAAATGTTTTGATAATTCGAAAAGACTTTGACTATGTGTATTCAAGAAAAATTAAAGAAGATTAGGAATGTTGCGTTTTATTCCAATTTTCCGGGTACTTTTTTGTCACTGTATACAGCCTGTATAACAACGGGGGACCAATAAATATTCAAATACTGTTCAAATTATTTCATAAGGTATTTGTCTGTATACTATACCTGTCTAAATCAGGATGGTCGGTGTTAAGTGGGTTTGCTTTGCCTGGAAAAAATATTTCAGTTAAATAAATTTAAACAAGTAAGTAAGATAATGATTGTGCATGCGTACCATATTTATAGGCTTCGGGATTTACATCCAAAAAAGCAACAGATCTGATTTTGTCCACTCCATTACTAGCAATGCATTCCACGAATCCTCTGTCGAAGTACTCCAATTTTAAGATACGCAATATCGACGAAAAAACGTTCTCCTTGCCCTGAGGATTTAAAAAATTTCAGTAAATTTTTCTTTCGTAAGTCTTATTACCTATAATTATATTGAAATAGTATTTGCAATTTCGTTGTTGTAGCTGATGTTTTTTTATAAAATTTACTAAGTTTTCTTTTCAAGTTCACCCATTCATTGTGGTAATGTATAGGTAAAGTACGTACGTTTTTAAATATGACAATGACGTCACGAGCTAGCTTGTTGCAATGTTGCCGGGTTGTAATTGTAATCCACAAATAGTAGAATTTAAACATGGAAAAGAACATCAAGAGGAGAAATGAGCTAGTTAGTATTAATTTAACTAAATACCTACTAGAATACACACGCACGAAAATTACACAGACATTACAGAGGCATTTAGAACTGTATATAATCATTTAGAACGCACCAGAATTATTTAGAATGTTCCAGAACCATTTAGAACTGTCTGTAATGATTTAGAACGCAACAGAATTATTTAGAATGCTCCAGAACCATTGAGAACGCTCCAGAACCATTTAGAACTACCTATAATCATTTAAAACGCACCAGAATTATTTAGAATGCTCCAGAACCATTTAGAATGCTCCATAGAAAGACAAAAATCGCTGGAAAAGTCACAAAAACAACGAATTGTATTTAAAACATAACAACTACAAATAGCGGAATTTTGAGACTAGCGATATGGCAACAAATCATCGGCAATTCAACCGCGCTAGGTAAAATTTCCTTAGTCAAATGGCAGAATTTACATTGGCCCTAGACATTTCGAACTGCTTGGAAATTACTAAAAATTACATCTTTGCCATTTTAAAACGTACGAACTTTATATACTTATACTGGCGTACGTTTACCTTATTTCTAATTTTAAATCTATCGTTGGCATCTACAGGTACTCCGTTGTGCCTCCAATTAAAGGACACTTTGTGGTTTGTGTGGTTTAAATCTAGCTGTTTTACTTCGCACACGAATTTCACCAGTTTTCCCCCGTCTCGTGTGACGTTCGATAATTCTGCGATGAAAGCTAACGTACCTTTAAAAATAAATAATAAAAATGCATTTCAAATTCAGAGAATTCTGAAACAGGATGCTTTTTACAAATGAACTCTTGCATACAGGGTGCTAATTAATTGAGTGCCGATACTTCAGGATGTGAATATTTGGATGTTTTTAAGAAGAAAAGTTTATATCAATATACACCTTGCTTCATTTCCGATTGCAACATGGTCATTTCTATGAGTGGAACAAATAAAGTTTATTAAAATGACAGTTGTCATAGTGAAAAGTTGCAATGACACAAATGTCATTCTTTCTTTTTCCTTTATAAGAGTCTAATGGAAGTTGTCTTTATCGTACCCATGGCCTATATAACCTATGTTGCGATCAAAAATGGAGCAACCTGTATGTCCGAAACCTTTTAGTTTTCGAGCTACAGGGTGTTACAGTTTTAGAAAAAAAAAACTTTTCTGTAATAATTTTCTTATTACTCCTGATATTTTTATGAAATTTCGGACGTTTCCATGCATGATGGGCGCCTACCAAATTTCAAAAAAATATCAAAAGCAGTCTCAAAATGAATTTGGGAAAAAGTCGTTTTGGTTTTTATTTTTTTACAAGAAAATGGCGCGTCGTCCGAAAGTAAGTCTTCGGAACTAATTTTATTAATAAATAAATTTTTTAAAAATAATTTTGAAAAAGCAATGGCGTACCATTTTTTCTTCAAACATATTCAGTTGAAACATCGTAGGGACGTCACTGGTAATTTTTTTTTTAAATCTTTCAGAAAATGATCCTTAATAATTAGTGTGTACAAAATTTCATAAAAATATCCGGAGTATTAAGAAAATTATTAAGTATAGAAAAGTTTTTTTTCTCAACTTGTAACACCCTGTAGCTCGAAAACTAAGAGGTTTAGGACATTTATGTTTGTATATTGATATACACTTATCTTTCTAAAATCACCCAAATATTCACATCCTAATGTATCGGCGTTCAATTAATTAACACCTTGTATATTATCAGAATTGTTGGTACAAAGTTAAACTAATAAAACTATTGTTGGTATAGTTAATTACCATTTGATGTTGAATTTACGTTGGAAAAATCATCGTAGTCTTCGTCATCTTCGTCATATTCCTCGGATAGCGTAAATACTGAAACAAAACAGATCTTAATTATAAAAAGCTTCTAATCTGGTAAAGATCTTATAACAAATAAATAAGTGTATCGGTGGACATGTCTTCTACATTTCGAAGTTCTCGTTATGGATTTTCTAATGGTTATTGAGAAGACATTTATCGTAATAGTTCGTTTGTATATTTTCAGTAGGTAGACGATGATTTAAAACAGAATCGATTTTTTTAATTGCAGAAAGCGTTTTGATTCGGTAACGCAAACAGAAAAAGTTAAAATATATATCATTTATCTGCGTTTTGTTTATACGTAGACGCATAAACATTTCCAGCTTTGAAATTAGAACCAGAAAATTCAATTTTTTAGAGCACATGATCGCTCCAATTTAAAAAATTAACACACCATTTACAGTTTACTTTTAAAATTCTCTCGAAATACTATAGCTTAGCTAGGCTACATTTTCTATTAAGGGTTGCAGTTGAGTCATAAATCTTCTTTAATTCATAAAACAATTAAATAATTGCAATTATCGTGAAACTGCCAACGATCTCAACGCCAAATTAACACAACCTTTCAACTGCAACTAAGCATTAAATTTATTTGATCACTCGTTATCCTCAGAGCGGAATGTAATGAACAAAATTAGAAACGGTTAATACAATGTACCATATTCCGGCGCAACTTACGTAGGGGAAAAATTTATATTCGGAAATATTACGACTGTTTTAATAGACTTTTAATTAGCTTATACGCCGAGCTGCGAAAACAGACGGCTGTAAAAAAATATTAACGTTTGTTTTGCTTATTTTAATTAATTTTCAACGCCCGAATTATGTGCGCACGCGTGAATTATTACCATCGTAAAATCGCTTTGATTTGATACAGAATAGCGACTGGAAGATGTATAGTTTTGGCGATTTTATTACGCTTTATTTAAAAATTTGAACAGAATCGTATCAAAATTTACTGTTAAGCAAAAATGCAAACAAAACATTAAAATGATGGCTCAAAGTTTACTACGAGGGATGTTTCCAAAGTTCTAGGAATTGTACAAATACAGGGTGTCCCAATGAAAAGCAGCCCCTTTAATGAGCTTATAATTTTTAAAACGCCTAATCATAAAAACATGCGGTTTTCTCCAATATGTTTAATTTTATTATAAGTTTTGTTACAGTAATACAGAAATTATGCATTAACAATACAGGGTGTTTTATCAAAATCTCCTCTTTTTAATTCACAGTAACTAATTTTTTAAATGGAACACCCCGTATATATATTATACTTAGAGGTACTTTGAAAGATACTAGTCTACTTTTCAAAAATATATTATTTGTACATGTTATTCTACAAAAGAATATGTCCTATTCCATAAAATTTGGTTAATGTGAATTCAAAAGAGTGTTTTTTTATGAAACTTCCTGTACAGGCGATACACAATGTTTGTGCCACTTAACAAAAAGTTATAGCAAAATAAAATATATCTGCGAAAACCGCATGTTTTTATGATTCGGCATTTAAAAATTATTAGCTCACTAAAGTGGCTACTTTTCATTGGGACACCCTGTATATGATAATAAAATATATTTGCAAATTGGTATTGGGCTAATATATTGCAAACTAAAATGAATCAACATGTATGTAATTAGTCGAACACCTGAATCAAACTAAACATATTGCATATTGTACTGTTTTCTAAAATTTTGGAACCATCCCTCGTTTAAAAAAAGCACAAAAAATTAAGATCGTCAATTACCTACTTCACAGCAAAATATACCCCTTCAAAACGCATCGAATGAAACAAAAAAAATGTGAAATTATTCCGGATTACCCGCGGGCGAGACCAATTCCCAGTTCCCACAGAGGCATTTTTGCTAAGCGTGAAAAATACAAATTTCACCCAACCTTTATCCACATCGATGCCGGGACATGTTATATCCATCCCTAGGGAAATCCCGTCCCTTTCAACCGAGCGCTACTCAGTACAAACACGTAAATTAAAGAATTTTTATCCCGGCTCTTCCTGTGCGGAGCAATTAACGACCTTAATTAAACCAATATCGATTTCGACAGGACCCTTCGACCGCAACCGTTATTAATTATCCGGCGAACGTGTAAATGCGATGCACCATATTATTAATGATCCTTTTACATCATCCCATCCGTCGAGTCTGTTTAGCGCAATTAGAAACTTCACACCGGGGTTTTAATTAATCGGTCGTCGAATTTGAAGAGCTACTTCTGCTGTACTTGACTGGTGCAATCTCTGCAATCCCATATACACTGTGTTGTTTATAAGATGCGACATAGGGATTCCTGTACAAATGTGTCAAAAGCAAGCTAACTTTTTTTTACCAAATAACGTTCATAAAAAGTAATAACAGATTTGAAAAGATCATAAAAAAATATGTCGAAATGGACATTAAATTTTCAGGGTTGGTTGACGCTCTGAAATTTGAAAATTTCGAGGTGAAGGATTGAGGTTCAAACCGCGAGTGCGGAAATTTTTTTCTGTTTTTTTTTTGGTATTTTTGGATTTTTAATGTTTTTTTTCATTAATAAAAATATGGCATTAATTTAAAGGCTCTACCTACTAACGAGATTTTGCATTATCAAAATTGACAATTAATTGTCGGAGCCTTTATTTAAATAAAAATAAAATTAAATCTCAAATAAGCTTACGAAACTACGAAACTTAAAAACATACGAAAATATACCTCTAAAGTGAATAAAAGTAAAATTTTTGACACATTAACAAATAAATTACTTGATGGACGTTGCCCGTTCGTTTGGTTTAAACGGAACTACACCGAAATGAGAGACTTTTTCGTTATTTAAACAATTTCGTCGGTTTTAATTGACGAGAATAAAAGAAAATGCAATAATACGCAAAAATGTAAGTTTCTTGGTCGTTTGTACTTACCAAAAACGGAGAAACGATCAAATTATTTTTAAAAAACCTACACTAATGACAGCGGCGATGAACAAACTTCAAACTGTCAAAGTTGTCATTTCCGTTATAGACCTATTCAGTTTACGAAAGAGAGCGATGGAGTTGAGAATTTGATCAACATAAGAGAATAAAAGAAGCAAATATGTTTCACGCGCAATCTGTGGAACCAGGACCGTATTAACCACTAGGCCAAATAGGCCATGGCCTAAGGCGCCACGGACCAAATAGGCGCCGAGGCCGAGCAATTGACAAAAAAATATTTTTCGGGATAATAGTAATTTTTTAATGACAAAAGGAAAAATAAGCTAGCCGCGGTTTCTTGGCGCACGTGTTGAATAATCGACAAGGCCGCCTTTTTAACGAGCGATTCGGCTCGGGTTCGGCGGTTCGGGTATCTGTTGCCACTGCTACACCGGACGAGGTAGTTCTTGTTATGTTCGCCCACTCTCCACTGCCATTAAATCTCGCTCTTCTGGTCTCCCGGTGTAGTGTGTAGCAATGTGGCAACACTGAAGACTGAAGTGAGTGAACTGTGTGAAAATTGAGTACAAAATGAGCGAAAAAGGAAAGAAAAAACTTAGCGGATGGGACAGAAAAAAAATTGAAAATGAGAAGAAAAAGAAGTTGGACCAATTACTTACAAAAGTGCCCAAAGTGCATTCATTTTTTCTGCCACAAACTAAAGATATTACAATTACAACAGAACAAATCCCAATCCCGTCAACTTCTAGTGGCGAAAGTGTTATAGGTACAGGCACAGGTAAGCTTTTTTCTTTTTTGGTCCATTTTTTGGCACCATCCTGCGCATCCCTTCTCTTTGCTTTCTCTAAATACTTAAGTATCTACAGTATAGACAGTAGATATTATTTTTTTCTAGGCCTAGGCGAAAATATTAATATCTTAAACACTCCTGCTCCTGAATCTGCTAACACTAAAACTACACTTATTGAAAGTGTATTTTTACCTTTACCAAGTACTTCCAGTGAGCCCGGAAAAGAAAATACGCCAGTCACAGAACAGTCAGCCGAATTGGAAGTGACAATTAAATTCGATGATCCGGCTCTTTGGAGTATAAATAAAAATTTTATAGATTACTTCATCAAAAATCCACTAAAACAGGATTTAATCAAATTTGATTTTGATAAATCTAAAAGAATATGTGGAAATCGAAACCGTTATGCTTCAAGAGGCATATTCTTTAGGAAACTGCATAATGGTGAACTGATACGTCGGGAGTGGCTTTTATATTCGCAACAAACTGGAAATGTGTACTGTTTATTTTGCAAACTATTTAACTTTAAAGAAAATAACCCTTTTGTAACCGGGTTTAGTGACTGGAAAAACATCTGTAGAATAGCTGCTCATGAGACATCTCCTGAACATTGTCAATGTGCCCAAACGTACCTCATAAGATCAAATGTATTGGGAAAAATAGACACGGAGGTTCATAAACAATACCTGCTCGAAAAAGAATACTGGGTTAACATATTAAAACGTGTTGTGGCAGTCATAAAATATTTGTCTTCAAAAGGTTTGGCATTTAGAGGAAGTACCGAATTGTTTGGAGTTGCAAATAATGGTAATTATTTGGGGGCTTTAGAGTTAATTGCAGAATTTGACCCATTTTTAAAAAATCACATTGAAAAAAAAGGTAATAAAGGAAGGGGGAACGTGTCTTATTTATCACCAACAATTTGCGATGAATTTATTAAGATTATGGCTTTAGGGGTGAGGGAACAAATTACATCTGAAATTTTAAGAACCAAGTATTACTCAATAATTGTAGATTCAACACCTGACATCTCACATTCAGATCAACTTACTATTGTCTTAAGATACGTTCTTGAAAATGGTGCACCTATTGAACGATTTATCACATTTATTAGCAAAGTAGGACATAAGGCTGCGAGCATGGAGTTAGCTATTTTAGATTATATAAAACAAATGTCATTAGAATTGGGAGATTGTCGTGGACAATCCTACGATAACGCTACAAATATGTCAGGACAGTATTCCGGATTACAAGCTAGAATAAAAGACAAAAACAGTCTTGCTAAATATGTACCGTGT